TATATATATATATTATCGTTTTTTTCGTTTTCTTTTAAAATGTTTGCAATTATGTTTTAACTTATCACAAAAGTGACAGACTGGCCCGCGGAAATCTTCTCTGATATACGGAGGTACAGTTTGCCCCACTACCATCTCCTATGATCTCACACGGTCTTAAGTGGAGACCAGACAACCCCTCTTTTAGCTCCGACTGAAATCTTTAACATTTGCCTAAATTGCCTTAGCGCCAAGACTCTCAGACCCTCCTCTTATTATTTACTAGTATAAGATAAGAAACTTCTATATTCTTCTTTCTATTTAACTCATGCCTTTCATTCCTTTTAAGAACTCGCTCCTTGCAAATGATTTTAGTGCTGCAATAGGCATGTACCTAGCTCCCGATTAGTTGCGGGTGCTAAACTCCATAGTTTAGCTCCGATTGAGCCCTGACTCGAGCCAGAGGAGGATCGTCCTGCATCGACCAATCAATATCATGAACGAGGATGCGGATGAGGATATGCCGGAGACCTAGGAAGCGGTTCGCTGAATTGCCGGTTTTTTTTAAGAATTATTATTCATGCTTTTGTCAGAGTTTGTAATTATAATCGCTCAAACAAGGACAAGCAGATACGGAATACGATTTCCGTGGCTGGGCAGTAGGTAGGGGTATGGAATCATTGACTTAGGCCAAGTTCTCGATTTACTGTTTTCGAAAGAGCAAGCGGCAGTGAGTAAAAGTAACTGATGATGGAATAATCTGCAATATCTTTATTTCCCACAGCAGCTCTCCTCTCGGATGAAGCTTTATTTCACGTAGGTCGTTGGAAACTTCTGATCATACACAACGCTAAGAATAGCTTAACTATCTTGAAAGATTTGAGTCTCAGAAAACGCGAAATTGTATTATATCTCGCGCTCTATTTAGAGCTTACAAAACTCTTCGCATTCCCAACCGTCCTTCCCGGCTTGGGTCCAAGTCAGTTGTTCTGAACCTCCACGAATTTTTTCTTTCTATCAAGCCCCATGACAAGGCCGAGTACGGTAATGCGCTCTTTCATATGCGGCAACTTGCTCCCTTTTCTCGTCGTCCTTTCTATAAGTCTCATCTCGACCTTTGCAGTCCTTTCATAAGCTGTTAGTATGTACGGTATATTCGTATTGCTCAGATTTGGGTATAGCTTACGGAACAAAGACCGCTTTCGAACTTGATGGCACTGATGCCTCCACTTTCGCTGCAGGATGGAGCCTTATGTTTAAGTGCTCGTTCACATTTCTCGAATGATGAAGATTGTTTCTTGATTCCAGTGAAATGGAAGCATTGTGAATATATGGTGATTGGTTGGCCGCACATGATGGACCGGTGTGGGAGAAGGTGGCTTGAAGATTGGGAGTTGCGTATGATAGATATTGCGATTCCACTGATATATCCTGTCAGAGTAGAGGAGAGCCTTGAAGATTCGATATTGCGCGTTTTATTATATATCGAAATCTTGAGTAACGGGCGTCAAGCATGGCTGCAGGTTGCTCATCATTCGTTAAGCCTGAGTGCTAATGGCAAACTTGATGGAAGCAAACTTGACCTATTGACTCACAGAGCGTTGTATAGTAGCAATTCATGAGGTAGTAAATGTCTTCTAGGAGCTTCAGAGGCCCTGGTCTAAAAGGTCAGCATACAAAAACCTGACTAGAGCTACATGTATACGAGCTAGTGAAATCGGAAATGTCTCCAGGATATCTCATACTTGTTTCTCCCTTCCTCTTTCAGTTCAACGATGAGTAAACAAATTATGAGCATTTAAAACGAGTACTCGTAGAGCTACGGTGATGCCAATTGCTATGACCATTGTTGCATGACCATAATATTATTCGAATCTCTATTTCTCCATCTTCCGCATCCCCTTTCTCTTTTTTGTCGCCGAACTCTTCTCTAACATTGAACCTTTTCTCTTCCCACCTCTTCATCGTCATCATTTATCACATTATATTCTTGACCGTCTTGCTCTTAACAAGCCTAGCATACATGGTCAGTATCACTTGTAAAATTTGACTATCCGACTTACTGGACAGCATTGAGGACCGAATGTGACTCCGCTGATGCCAAGTCTGTTTGAGCATTGAATGCCACGCAAAAAAGACGGATAGCATTGCATGGTTATTCCAGATGCAGGTCGATAATGGAAGCATTTGGAAAAGATAACGAGTGCTTGCCCACACATACTTAATCGAGCTAGTTAGACCGAGAAGACAGAGTGGGGGGGCGTCTTGTACCGCTATATACATGTTCCCCTAGTAGTCATACATGATACATCTCTGGGACGGATATCTCTGACTCTTATCAATCATACCGGCAATCTAATCCTGCCGTAATGCGGCCCCAACCCATTTCAACAATAACCAAACTCATTCCGAAGATTTTGACCTGCATTTACACAAGTCTTTCAATGACACTTGGTCAGTTTCTATTTTTCTGCAGCAGGAAAGGTATTCTTACTGGGCACATTCCGTCCAAAAATCCAACACTATGGAATCCATACACGCGTAGCCAACTTTCTGGGCAATGGAACACGAGATTCTGGGCCCTCCACTTCTGGTGGAGAAATGCAGACATTGAGTCCAGATTTCGATCTTCAAGGTGCCACACATAATGGGGCCGACTGAGGTGAGAAGTGGAGATTAAGCTGCTTGGAGAGGGGTCGAGAACAGAGAACAGCGATGAAAGGATTATACACTGGTTATATGGATAGTAAGGCCTCAAACTTCATCATATTCTTGTACGGGATGATGACTTGACACAATTTCAAATTGACATTGTTCACAGCATTGATCGGGGTGGATCAAAAGCTCGTATTCTGGGAGACATAGCAGGCACGAAGCAAGCAACTCAGGATTAAAAGATTGAAAGTGAGTGGCCAAAGAAAGGACTAGTTTGTGAAGAGATCCATAGATAATAGTCAGAGTAATAATATATGAGAGGACGGGCACATATTATGTTGTAGGAGATGATTATGATCTTTCTAGGAATAGCAAAAACTTCTGTGAGAGTAGAGACGCTTATGTTGCTCTTAGTCTATGTGGGAAGCAGTAATTTCTCTAAGACCAGGACGTGAAACGTAGGTTCTTGGGGTATTATATAGAAGCACAAGTACCATCAAGATGCCAAGAAGAATATTTGATTCGTCAAGCTTTAGAGATAGTAGCATAAACAGCTAGCACGAATTTAGGCATGAAGAAAAACTTGACATGGCATAAATGAAGGTAGTCATACTGATTGACACATAGTTGAGTAAAGCTAGTCCGAAAAGTCCTATAGACATGCATGAGAGAAAATGATTGTCAAGCATCTGAAGAGGTAAATCGTGCGTTGAACGGACAGGTATTCCTGTATGCATTTAAATCAAACTTAGCTTCCGTTATAGCCAAGTCGCCCAAAGTTTGTTAAGACCAGTAGCCTTCATCCTCTACCACTTCCCTCCGGTAAGCTTTGTGATAGTCTTCTTTCCTCTGACATGACTAATTGGGTTAGCAATGACCCGAGCATTCCCATTCCTAAGTCACTAATGTACTGCACACAGTCTTGCGATATCTTCCAATTCCTGCCGCAGAAATACCTCGTTGCAATCGCTGGTAGGGTTCTTGCATTCGATAATTTTTGATCCGGTGTTGTGTCCACAATCAAAGACCTGAATGAGTTGGTGACACATTCTCGGTGGGTTCGAATGAATCTGAAGCTAAATATTTCGCGGGGCTTGGAGATTGTGGTATGAAGTAATGTATCATCTGTAACGTGGGGATTGTTGGTTGCAGGATGTCGTCCTTTGCTCATACAGAGACGGATAACACCGCATTTAACAGCTGTCATCTCTTCCTCGATGAGGCAATCCATCCGGAGAATCAGTTGGTGATTGCAGAGCCGAAAGTGCAAACACAAACTTCACAACTGATATTTGGGCCCAAAACCTTAGAGTTGTGGCCGAATGGAGGGAATCAATCCTTGATAGTCTCCCCCTTCCATGTGAGGATAACCTCCCTCTCACTCTTCTCTCCACCCGCATACTTTAGCCCAACACCAATGCCCTCCAACCCCTCCTGCTCTGCCCTCTTGTTCCAAAGCATCTGCAACACCTTCCCATCATCCTCACAAAGCACATACCCCATTGGCCACCTACTCCTTCCCAGAGCCTCCCGAACCCCCTTGGAAGCCGGTTTCTTCGAGACCAAAAAGCCAAGCACCCCTGCACCCCTCCATCCCGTCGGCGCCCCAACAAACGCTCCCTCCAGTTCCCTCACAACTTTCGGTTCAGCCTTGCTTGCTAACGCTTTGCATTGGATGAGCACTTTCAGGGGCTGGAGTGAGGACGGGAGGTTCCAGGTACCGATGAGGTCAATCCCGTAGTCGGACTTGCCGCCTATGCGTTTGAGGGATAATCCGATCCGGGACAGTGCGGTTTGAACAGTGTATTCGTAGTGAGTTCCTACGTAGGTTGTGCTTCTTGGGTCCATGTCTGTGCGGGAAGCATACTGGAGGAATGACGGGAGGTCATGGTGGTTTGAGGTTTGGTGCTCTGGATAGGCCAATTCTTCCGAGGCGTTTGTGGTGTATTTTTGGAGGCAAAATAATTGTTGGGCTGGGCGGAAGTGCCGTATAGGTGGAGGTAGACGAAGCATACCTTGGGGGTTTGGCCTTTGTCTTCGTGTTTGTCATATAAAACTCATAATTATATTCCTCCTCCCTCGTTCCAATTCACCTGGAATCAAACAGAAAGATGGACGTGCATTGATCTAGAGAATGTCCGCAGCTCGATAATTGGTGTGAAACGTGCCAAACAAAAAGTTGAAGTCGGAGATTGAAATAATTCCTAGTTCCGCTAGTGCGTTCTAATTGGCTGCGGAGACATTCTTTAACCTTGACATCTTGGTCCCTCAGCCTCGTCGCAAACCACAACAATCTTGAAGCCAAGATGGCTGATAAATTAACGCAATTGCAAGATGCTGTTGATCAGGTATGTTTCCCCTTAGCTTTTGCAACGCCTGTACTGAAACTATTCAGCTCGCAAACCAGTTCGTCGCCTCACTTTACTACGTCCACAAACACCACGACCTGAAGACCCTGGGCGCGAGTGACAAGATCCGAGAAGAGAAGAAGGATGAAGCCGCGCAGCGAGAGCCAGATAGTAAGCATCCTATGATCCCCTCATATGTACTGGATTAACGGTTTGGGACAAAGTCGAGCCCGTCTCCGCCGATGAATTCAAAGCCGGGCAGAAGGAACTTGCGCAGGACCTGATAATGAAGGAGCAGCAGATCGAATTGTTGATATCCGTGCTACCTGGGCTGGACAATAGCGAAAATGACCAGGAACGTATGATTAGGCAGTTGGAGGATGAGCTCAAGGCTGCGGAGGAGAAGAGGAGGGAGGCTGTGAAGGAAAAAGAGGAGGTTTTGGCGAGGTTGGAGGGGGTGATACGGAGTGTGAAGAGGCCTTGATTGGGATTTGTGGGGTTTGATCATTGCTATTTCTGAGCATGGGCTGGCGTTTGGCATACCCTGGGGCATTGAGTAGGCGTTCAGAAATGGATATAATGACATCAAGCATTGCGGTTAATTTGGTCTCATCTAAGACTTGCAAATCTCAATGCTATTATTGGTCTATCCTATACCTCTAGATATCTATGGGTATGTGTACGATTTGGTGTTGTTATCAGTCTCAAGATGTTTTGAAGAATTGCGGGAACAAAGTCCTGAGCTCTTCTAAGTGCCGAATCTGATTCTTGCAAGGCTTGATGGCAGGTAGAGGTTCCCCTTCTTCAACAAGATGAGTGGTTGTCCACCCAATCTCCTCAGCCTTACCACAGTTCAGCGCCGAATCATCTGTCGCTGTCAGCTCTGCACCAATCGAAATTGGTCTAAAACAGCTTACCAACGAAGTAACAATCCTTCATTTCCTTCACTCCAGCTTCACTCATAGCTTTATCAAACATTCCCAAGTGAGGTTTGCAAAGCATCGGCCTCTTGCCGTAATCGCAGAAAGTCATGCCCTCAAACATATCCTCAACTCCTAGCAATCGTACCACGCGCTGCCCGTGAGTGACATAGGCGTTGGTAAACAGCCAGAGCTTGACTTTGGTCTTATCCACATCCTCGAGAAGCTTCCGGAGCTGGGCATCTGGAGCGAGGATTTCGTCGAGAGGAAGAGCATCATCGACTTGAAGGTTGTACTCGAGTGGGTCGATCTGATGGTGTCGTACGAGGCCTTCGATAGCCAAGCCATATGTCTTGTAGTATTCTTGATGAAGTCGGAAGGCTTCTTCCTGGTCCAACTCCAGATGCTTCATAAAGTAATCATCTATCAATACTGTCATGTGATCGTGGACCTTCTTGCCTGGGGAGAGTGTGAGTCAAAAAACGCCAAAGGAATACTAGGGATGAGGACATACTCTTTGAATAAAGCTGTAGAGAAATCCGTTAGCTAGCATATGAAAGATATAATTGAGATACGTACACAATTGTCAATATCAAAGAAGAAGACCGGTCTCGTGTCTGCCATCCTTGCTCCTATCGGTGTTGTGTAACTTTTTGCTTGGGAAAAGATTGTCTCGGTCTGTTTTAAGGGAAGAAGGTCTTGGGGCGCTTCACACAAGAATTGGTCTTTTGCTGCCTTGACACGGAATACAGACGTCGCAGGGATTATTTCCCACCTCGGGTACAACGTTAATGTGAATATACTCCGTATATGAGAGATCTTGAACTCAGGGCTTTGCATGTATTCCCAATGAGGAAATCGAGACGAGACTAAGGGGGGGTGCGACTAGCGGCTCTGATCATTTAATTGCCGGACCCAACCTCTTGCCAATCTCACTGTCGAAATTTCCAACTCCTTCATCCTCGAGTCAACACATTCGACATCTGGTGTCCAGAGTAATTTGCTACTGTTTGTTCGCTTTGTACATTGGCATAATTATCATTTGCATATATCATTAACTAATAGGCAGCTACCTCGTTGCAATGATGGCCCAAGGGGCTGTCGCGCCTGTCACGATTTCAAATGGAGTTGTGCCACCTCTGACCGTAGAGGAGCTGCGCGAGTTGGCAGAGTATGAGAAGATCATACAGTTTCGCGATGCCGTTCTAGCAGGATCCCACCCGCGAATTAAGATAGCACCTCATCTTGTTGGAAAACAAGCAACTGCGACTCGAAATTTCTCCTCGCCTACTACTTCGAATCCTCGCGCAAATAATGTCGCACAACGATCTACCCCAAACTCCCACCTCGAAGACGCGTCTTTTTATCGATCCCCCAATAATAACCGGCCAGGTCTTCCTGCGCAGATTTTCAAATCGGGAAAGTCTGAGATCAATCCAATTCTCTTGGAGAAGTCTGACGATCTCATCAAAGCTGAGATGCAATTACAAAGGCAGAGGTTGGAGCGCAATTTGAGGGATCAGATTGAGAAACAGCGGATTGCAACGAAAGCTGCACTACAAACCTCTGAGTCCCTTCCTAATTTTGATATTTCTGAAGTTTTGTCAAAGGCCCAAGCTATTGTGCACCCTTCTACCCAAGCGGAGGTCCAACCTGCGATGGCCGATGATACTGCCGCAAGTGATTCTTTTGATGAGAACACTTTCTATTCAAGTCAACATGATTCTTCAGCCTGGTCAAACTCTTCACAAGGTCAGAAAGAGCCCGTTCAAGTTCACTCGGGTGGTTTTATATCTGCTGGAGAGCGTCCTGGCGAGTCAATCTCCACCCAAAGTCACATTGAAAACCAGCAAAAGGTCGTGGCTAGTGCTTCGCTATCCACAAATAATCCACCAGCAGCTCAAAAGCAACACTCACAGCACCTGACAAATGCAGCAGATATTCAAGGGCAACTTTCAGGACTGGGTAATTCTGTTTCGCATGCGGCTACCGGAGTAGCAACAAACCGTAACTCCACGGACTCGCCGCACCAACGAGGTGAAGTTGGTACACATAGCGTCTCAATGGTGCCGAACGGTTTAAATCGTGATCATCAAGCCACTGTACAAAGAACTACGGATGATCTCTTGAGACAAGCATTTGAAGATGACCGCGCTTCGCCTTTGATTCATACCCACAATCTTTCTCCATTTGCCCCACAGCCCGCTCGTGTTTCCCCCTTGGCTACTGCAAGAGAACCTCCAGTCCTTCGAGAGAATATTCTTGCTGATGAAGCTGCACCCGCCCAAGTGGCGGCATTGCGAAATCAGCCCACAGGAATCTCCAGTACAGATAGTTCTCCAAAAGGAGTCAAGGCCGCCGAAAGGAAGAAAGGAGGAAATAAGAAAAAGAAGCGCAAGGCCAAAGACAGTTTCGATACTGCGGATTCCCCATACATCAAGCCCGAGCCTCGATCACCGTCACCATTCCCCGTTGCTCCTTTACCCCGACCGCAGAAAAGACAGAGACAGTCTGGTCAGTATGCTGCTGAGCTTAATTATGACGAGCCCAGATACGGTGCAGAAGAGGTTACACAAGCACGCATCCCAGAGCCGTATGCGGAGGTGCGCGAGTCCCGAGCATATCAACGAGCTGACGAAGCCTATGAACCTGTGTTCCGCCGGCCTCCACTTCCTCCTCTTCGTCGGGTGGAAGATGATTCTTATCGACGTACTGCCAGCGATACTTATACTCGACAGCCCCAATCTCCCACTGTATATGCTACGCCATCTCATGCTCACAACGAAGTTCGCTCCGTCAGGGCAGCCTCGCATGCCATTGTGGATCGTAGAGTTGAGGACCCCTCATACTACGGCCAACCTGCTGTCAGATCTGCTTTGCGACCAGATGCGGATCGTGAGCGATCTAGATCTCCTATCTTGCGTGATCGTAGATCACCAGTAGCTATGGGCCCCCCTCGACAAGCAGTCCGCATTGTTCGCGATGAATTTGGCAACGAGTACTATGATCCTTCACCTGTGCGCCAATCTGTGGCACCACCAGCAAGGTATCGTGAGGAAGTGGTGTACGAGCGACCGCCAGTAAGAGTAGTATCTGCCCGACCAGAGGTCTATGAAGATGATGGGATTCTCTATCGAAGGCCTTCTCCAACTCCAACAACTGCCAGGCGTGTTGTTACGCAACCGGAATATGCTATGGCAGCCCCATCTGGGTATCGATCTTACCGAGAGCGGGAATATTCCGTCCGCCCATCTGGAGAAGACTATGTCCAGCGTCGTCCAGTCTACGAAGAGCCGGTCCGTGAATATGCACCTAGAGCACAAAGCGTCCGCCCAGACGCAGTACAATACGAGGTTCGCGACGAAGCTCCACGTGAATATGCTCCCATGGCTCCCGCTGTCCGCGACGAGGCTTCGCAAGGTTATGCTAGAGCTGCGAGTGTTCGACCTGACACAGTGAGATATGAGGAGGTACCGCGGCAATATGCTGGTCCTCGAGTCCAGGCTCTGCGTGAAGAGGTTGTACGCGACTATGCTCCCAGACCCATCAGCGTCCGTCCAGATCAGACGAGATACGAAGTCCGCGAGGATTCTGAGTATGCTAGGGCTCCGGTGGTGCGCGAAGAACCGCTGCGGGGTTACGCTAGAGCAGGAAGTGTACGACCAGATGCTGTCAGGTATGAAGTGCCAAGGGAATATGTTGGAAGGGTGCAAAGTGTTATGCCCGAGCCACCACCTCGAGAGTATGCTTCAAGCGTACGCCCGGAGGCCCGACGGGAGACGATACCGCAGGCTCAACGTGAATTCAGTGTTCGGCCTGTTGATTCTCTGAATAGGCGGGAACAAGTGCCTGTTGGGAAGGGAGAGAGATACTACGAAGAGATGGCTGGACAGAGACCAGCTCCGGTTGCTTTTATTGAACGGCCTAGAGCTAGGGAATCATCTGTGCTTGTGTATGCGGATGATGTGCGGAGGGAGGTGTATAGATAGGGTGGGGATGTAAGATTATCACGGCTGGAAGTAGAAGCTGAGAGCTTATCTGCTGATATGTGAGGAAATTGGGATATGAGTTGAGACGAGGTCGCCGTTGGGATTCCCATTCATCGTTTTCATGAAGCATAGCATTGACGGCGTATTTGAAACTACTCAGCAGTAGCACAGCAAGCATTTTTAGCATGAGCGGATATAGGAGAACATTTACTGTACTGTACAAATATACTTGGCCATGAGTGGCATAATTTTTGAATAAGACCCAAGGGCCTAATGCTGCACTCGCAGACGTGAAACCACCTAATAAAAATAAGCTTCAAGTATAAATTAAACGGCCTTGCCACACTTGCCATGGATTTCCTGCCAAAAATGCTGCACGTCATCCAGTAGTATTTCGCCAGCACCGGTCCAGCAAGGTTCTAAAATTCCTAAACTCCGCTTTCTGGACCCGATGGAAGAACTAGGTACTAGTCGGACTTCCTTCTTAGCTAAAGCCCGCTGTGGGGTGGGGCGGAGGTTCCAACTTTGAGTCGTCATGAAATCATTCAACACCAACCACACCGAGAGATTATTAGTTATAAATGATTTACTGTATATACGAAGGACTCTGAATCACCACAGAGCGAGCTAAGAAGGATGAAAGCGACTATTAGTTAGTAGATCTTTGCTGGAAAGGAGATGGAGAGAATGGGGGTCCTGGCCTGGCCTGGCCCTGGCGATCAGATGCCGAGCCTGTGGGATGATGTGATCTAGTTTCTGGGACGGGGAACCGGGAGATGTGGCTCTGGCTCTGGCTCTGTATTTGATTTGGTTGGATGGATGGACGGGCCATGTGTTCGAGACTCGAGGTGAGCAGGTGAAGGAGGATTGAACGGGTATCTTGATATTTTCATAGGTAGAGGGTAGAGAGCAGGGTCTGTTTATGTAGGTTTATGGAGGTCTTGTTGGGTGTCGGCAAGTTCCCAGGCGGAGGGGTAGACTGAATAGACCAATGACGTTGCTTCAAATATGGATGCGATGCTTTCGAAGTATCCGGTCGTATGGGATGGGATGGGATGGGTACTTGTTCTTGTTCTTGTTCTTGTTCAAGAAACAAAAAGGGTTGGAACTCTAGAAAGTGATACGGTAGAATGATGATGCTTCAATTCAAATGGGTAGACGGGCATATGGGGGTAAGGTAAGGCACATTAGTTGTAGCTATAGATCTATACCTAAGTAGCTACCGTAACCATGGGATGGGCCCTTGAGATTTCGTATGGAATGGCCCTCGTCATCGAATCAGCTTACATTTTCAACCTTTACGAAGTATTTTCCCTCCTCTTCCCTGAGCGTACGACGACAACCTCCACTCAGCCATCTCGGAAGTATCCGTAGAGCAAAGATCAGGCCTTGATCTACACTTCACCTCAGCTGTGGAACAGCCCACCGTACTTTCTGTACCATCCCATCCAACAACACAACCTCGACAACCTCGGAAACACCAAATCTCCTGACAACTTGATAGTCTCGCGAGACAAGACTTTTATTTAATTCACATCGGTTCAATTCAATTCAACCTAGTCCAATCCGTAATAATCCGTGCTGTGCCCCCTGGTCGATAGAAATTCCAATCGGACTGCGCTCCGAGAGGACGAGTTGGACTACACGTCGCTAAACCCAACACAGCCGCTTACTGTGCACCATCACGATCAAGCAGTAGTCTGGCTCTGGCTCTGGCCTCTTCTGCTCAACTCTCCTCTCCTCTCCTTGCAGGCACGAGACACTTGTTCAACGTCTCAACCCCACCACGCCCTCCGCCAGCACAGGAACTCTTCATTATGAATAAATTAGCAAACATGCGGCATTGGTCAGATAGGATGGCTCCTGGCTTTGGCATGTCGAGGCCAAACCCCAACAATATGAGCATGCCAGCCATGACGCCGCAACACAAACCCATCCACGGCTCGCCCATCTCCCCAACGTCCGAACAAGCGACCATCCACTACTCCTTCAACGTCCCCTTTGCCTCCGATCTTGCTGGGCCGAATACAGAGGACATTCTGTACGCGACGACCGGTGCTGTTGAGCGATGGACGCACCCTGAAGACGCGCCAGACGACGTCCCGATATACGAGCTCCCTGTACACGCGCAGAACGTCATCAACTTAAGAAGGCTTTGTAAAGATCTCTCGAGCGGGCCGCTGCCGATAGAAGCCCACGTCAAGTCCTCAGAGCCGAAACGTGTCAAGGGCCAGGTTACAAATGTTTGTCTTTCGGGAAGTCCGGACTTGGTACACAAAAGCAGAGAGGCGATTCTAAATGAGACGCCTTTGGCATTGGTAAGGCTAGCACCTTTAATGCGTGGTTTTATGCTAATATCTGCAACAGCGTCATGCTGTGGTTGATATTGACGGAGAATTGGTCATTGATACAGCTGCCACGGCTCTTAAGACCCACGTCATCGATCAACTTGATCGTATTGCAGGATTCTGTGGTGTTGATGTCTTCCTTCTCGGGCCTAAATTCGCCCTGACCGAAGTATCGAATGCAAATGGCGACCCGGGTCGGGATCCACGGTGGAGAATTGCCATCTACGGTGACATGGAAAGTGCCGAGCATGCCAAGACGAGAGCCTTGATTTTCATTGACAAATTGGTGAGTGCTGAAGGCATTAATATCGGATATTTATTAACAGTCTCTCAGCTGGGACGCGTTGTTGATGGCACGATTCTCGAACTCTCTCTCCACACTGTCGTATGCGGACGATCTCGAAAGAATATTAAGCTGATCGAGTCGGCAACTAACACCGCAATCTACTTCCCGCCCCCGTTCTCCCAGGTCTACAAATATTGTCCTGCTGGCGCTCAAAGACGCAATCCAGAAGAGATTTTCATCACAGGGGATACGCCACAGAATATTGCTATGGCCAAGCAGAAGATACACGAGCTTATGTCGCGCACACGTCTCTTTATGAAAGATACACCGATTTCTGCGGCTAAAATTGACAGCATTCTTCTTAACAGATTGGACAAAGTTCGCAAGATCATGGAAACGAATGGAACTTTCATCCAATTCCCAACTCTCGGTTCCCAACGGGGTTCTCTCAGAATTCAGGGTGTTGAGGGATTGCATGTTGAGAGGACCGTTCGAGACATTATGTCTTTGGTAAGTTACCCAAGACAAGAAATATCTGAACATGCTGCTAACACATTCTTAAGACTGGTCAGTTCTACGGCGCCCAGTGGACCATTTTGCAAGCTGAGACGGCTCGTCTCCCATCTCCGGCTGATGTCCGCACCATGCTTTCCGACATCTGTGCAAACTCGGATGCGGATGTATCTTTTGAAAAGCTCACATTTACCATTACAGGCTCCGATGATGCTGTTAAGGCAGCGTTGATGGTCATTTCCGAAATCAGATTTGTTAGCAGGTCTCAGTATCAAATACGTGTCAAAATTGAGCTTGCAAATGAGCACAAGGAGTTCGTTAGCGGGAAAAAGAACGGCAAGATCAACAAGATTATGGGCCAGAGCAGTGTGCAGATCATCTTTGATGGCTTTAGCGAGTACAACTTCAACATTGATGTCTGCGCTGGAAGCTATGAGGCCATGAAATCCGGTCTAATGCTCGTGGAGCAAGAAATGCCAGCATCCATCTCGTTCCACGTGCCTGATCAGTACCACAAACGCATCATTGGCATTGGCGGCCAGCACATCCAGCGCATCATGAAGAAACACTCAGTCTTTGTCAAATTCTCTAATGCTATGGATCGAGGCGGAGTTGGGCGAGAAGATGATGATATCAAGGTTGATAATGTCATCTGCCGTACACCTGCCCGAAATGCTCAGAATCTTGAGCTTGTCAAGTCAGAGATTCTGGATATGGTCGACCAAGTGGACTCGGAGTTTACTTCGCAGACCGTCAACGTCGAGAGATTGATACACAGGCAGCTCATTTCTCGCCTCGACCAACTTGAAGAACTTGAGAAGAAATGGAACTGCAAGATCAGCTTCCCAAGCACTGAGCAGGCTAGTGACGATGTCACGATCTCTGGCCCAGAGTGGCAAGTACCATACTGCGTGGATGCATTCCTTGGTCTGGTTCCAGATCGACATGAGCTGATTCTGGCGCGCTCGGATGAACTGATGAAATACCTGGAGTCTAATGAGTTCCGAAATGACTTGTGCGCAAAGCTCAAAAGCCAATACGTCGTCGAAGTGCATGTCGGAACCGATGCAAACGAGCTTACCGAAGAGGGAGGACCTACTGTCACTCTAGAGTGGAACTTTACGCGCAACAATGCTGGCGGCGTCCGAGATGCCATTGACTTGTTGGCAGCGTCTCTCGCAGCCGCAGGGGTTGAAGCTACAATCGTCAAGGGGGCTATCGCGCGCCCTAAGTCAGATTCCTTCGAAGAATCCTTACCGTTTTTCGAGTCAAAGGTGTTGCAGCATTCGGCGCCTGTTTCGACCGATTCGCCAACCAAATCGTCGTTTGGCGATGATGCTCGCGAGCGAAGCACAATCTTCGACAAACTTCGAAAGCCTGGCAGCATGACCTCAATATCTTCTTTCCTGGACCGCCGCAAGAATAGCTCCCATTCTTCTGCCAATTCTTTGTTCAAGACTGGGGCCTCTGGCAATGTTTCCAAGTCATCTTTAATCTCTATCGAATCGACCAGAAGCTTTAATGCGGACCGTAACCCATGGAACGACAGTGGTGTCAACTTGCCGGACGACGACACTACTCCATGGCCGACCCGCCATTTTGGCAATGGCAGCGGGAGCAGCAATGATCACAAGCCCTCCCAACTTCAGCATCCCGGCGATGTGACCCCGAGACACACTATGCGTGCCTCCACCGATAGTGGACGACCTTCAACTTCTCATTCCACAAACTCAGGATATCCTGGCCCTATTGGGCCACCGCGTTCTTAAATGCTCTTATTGTTTCCTCGATTTCCTATAGTCATGGATATATACCCTGGCGCGCAATACCCAAATACCAACTTGTGATTTTATCTGCGGTGTTTCTTCATTCTGTTTTGTTACCCGGTTTTTTGTTTTCCATTTCCGGCGATTGCGACGATTCGCGATGGTCATTTCGGGTGCCTTTTTTTTGAGAGAGAGAAAAGCTAAAAAGATGCGGCGTCGGAATGTTTTGCGAACATGATACAACTATAGAAACTGCGTCGTCAAAAGAGAGGAAAGGAAATACCAATTTGCTTTGGACTATTAAAGTCGCTGGCGCGGGTGGGAAATTAACTTGCCGCAATTGCTTTTCTGTTAACTTTGCTCTCTACTCTCTTTCGAATGGTATTGCAGTAGGGGGTTCGGGGTTGAGGGGAGATGATGGTAGGGCTTTCGATGGTGCTTGGGGGATTTCGGTACGGTGGAAGGTTTGGGATGGATGATTTTGGACGACTCGGGATGGAGGGGAGGAAATGGGGAATGTTACGATACCCAATGCAATACCGAGAGAATATAAAAGTTTCTTTGACAAAAGGTGGTGCTGCAGCTCATAGGACGTGAACTTGCCAAACATTGACCGATGCTTGACTATGGTGGACATCATATCCTCTCACTGTAGTGAGCTACAACCTACTGGGAGGCAGAAGAGAGAAGGTATTCACTGATGATGGCTTCCTTGTTGATTTGATGGGGATTCTGAATGTTCTTCAAGGAAACTCTACCTTAAGCCTCGTAGTTCGAGACCCTCTTGCTCCTCTTACTCACGAGCCACGAGCCACGAACCCGACAATGGGAAGTAAAATTCACGTCCCAACCGTCCTTCCTCCAGCCCTTAGAAATCTCGGTTCCAGCAAGTGCTGTATCTGTTCTTTACTAACTACCTTATTGCTTGAGACAGACTCTTACCTCGAGATTCTGGGGGTATCTGTGCATCTTCCATCCTCGCAATGCGGAAGAAAGCTCGCCTTAACTATTGCTTCCTGTCTTCTTTTCCTCTCTACCTCAGTATCCACCCTATTCTTGCAATAGGAGTAGTAACATGCGAGTTTGGTTGGGGAGGGAGGGGTTTGAGAAAGCGGCGTTCTTGACGCATGTCTTTTATACAAGTGACACCTAGAGGGCGACGAAGGTAAGTCAAAGAAAAGTTTTCACAGTTTCCTATTTGATAAATTGAAACTTACGATACCTACCTACCTTGTTAGTGCTCGTGGTTCCTGCAGGCAGTTTGGTAAGCGTCCGCTGCTTATGAACACCGAACACCGAACGCCTATTCCGAGATGTGGATTTGGCGTCCAATGTCGCCATCTCATTCGCCGCTCCTGACATGAAAACTGAGGCAGAACCGGCACTTAGGCCTCCCAACTCCGACGACTTCGAGACGTTAACCGCATTCGTCCGCATCCACCTCAACTCTTATCTTCAGGCAAGCTTTTGTCTTATGGTTTTCTTCATTTGCGTGCCTTTTTTTGGGGGGGGGGTTTTAAGCCGATAACTTAAGTCGTGAATCATGAATTCCCGCAGCGGCGTTGGCAGTGCCAGTGCCAGTGTTGTCGCACGGAGGCGGAATGGAAAGCAGCAGGCCTGTGAGCCTTGTCGCAAGGCAAAGATTGCTTGCGATCACTCTCTACCTACTTGTGACCGCTGCAGGCGTAGGAAGGTTACTGAAAAATGCGTTTATCACGCTGCGCCCATGACCAAGACCGGCTCTGGTAAGTCACATTCTAAGAGTGATAGTCCCTACTTTAGACGTCTCAGGAGCGGAGTCGACTACTCTTCAAACATTATCCCAACTCCCATAGAACATTATCTGAACTCCTAGTTCTACCGTATCAGGCAATGCTAACTCCGAGATCTTGATCAGGACAAGCAACTTCTCCATCCGGAATAGAAAACGGAAAGAGCCACAGACAGCAGCCCTTGCTTACACCTTCCCATCCTGCTGCTGTGTCTATTACCTCGCCCGAGGTTAGCACTACACTGCTAGCACAAACCCCTAAAGATTCTCGTTCCCCAGCGAGTAGCGGGCCCTTCATCAAATCAGGAGGGTTCTTCGGGCCCACCAACTTTTCTGCGGTCTTTCTCGAAAACCGTGATAATCTCGTATCCGGCAATGAAGAGATGCAAATCTCCAATGACTCTGAAGATCCTCTTCCTCCTTCAGAAAGTCTTCAATCTCAAACCTTCCTCATGCTAGCCACCGGCAGTGCTGCGAATTGCAGTCCAAGAGTTGAACTTGGTGCCAAGGTGCTTAGATCATTGCCAGACAAAATCACTTGCAACTTCTTGCTTGAATGGTACTACGAGAATTGCGATTCATGCTTCGGCTACAATCATGTTATCATGAGTTGCGCAAAAAGCTTGTGGCAGACCTACGACCCATTTCTGACTGAACCCACGCCAGAAAACATGCAACACGTTTCCACGATCCTGTGTGAGAACAGCAAAAAAATCCTCGAAGAACCTACCGGCTCCGAGAACCTTTACTCTAGATGGTTAGACTCATTCTGTGGAAGTAACATGAGATGGGAGACTGTTGGCCTTGTGTTCTGCGCTCTCACGCAGGCGACGCTTAGTCTGCCAGAACGGGATGCATTCTTCTGTACGCAGACGGGGAATAGAAAGGGTAGGAAAGCTTTTGCAGTCGAGATGAAAGACTGTATTCAGGCTTGCATCACGTTGAGTAATTGGATGGATTTAATAAATCTGCCAATGGTCTTCCTGCTTTCAAGGAACCTCGTTCTTCAGGTAAGCTTATTCTTTCAATACACTGCTTTTCTCCTCCATGGGAGCCGAGGAGCTGGGAGCGGGTTCAGGAGCATGCATATGGGCTCATGGAACAGTACCCAGACTCGTCACTCTCACAAAATAAATTCTCTCATTATGCTAATGCGTTGATTAGACTGTTATTAGCGGCGATACAAGTAAGCCCTTTGAGTATGCGGTATATTTAAACGCTAACCCTTCTTGCAGGTTTGGTTGTATGGAGGCAACTAGGAGATCTGGTCAGCGCGTCAACTGCACTGGGGCTCCATAGACAGGTGACTACGGAACAGCCCATCACTTTCCTCACGGAGATGAAGAAGCGCGTCTTTACCTTAATATTCAACTGGGACAAATCAACCTCGGTTCTCACTGGACGGCCACCAGCTCTAAGTTATCGCTATACACGCTTCAAGTTTCCTTTGGATCTGAGTGATGAGGCAACAATGGCTGGCGGGGACGAGCTAATTGCTGCTATAAACAAATTGGACAAAGATGGGTGGAACACAGATGGTAAGATATACACTAGTACGGTCAATCGCGTTCACGGCATCGATTCCGTGATCCTGGACGAGACTCTCGAGTTATGCCTTGGAGATCCAGCAGATTGTACCGAGGAAAGAACAACGTCAGTGTCTTCGCCCTTCACTTAATATGTCTAACTTTTTCTAGGTATCTTATGCAAAAATTGCAAAATTCTTTCGATTCCTTGCCTAGTCACATACATTTCTCCTATGCCGAGCCGCCTACTGGGAACCGTAGTGATAGCTTCTTCCGGAAAGTCCTCTGTATACGCCTTGCGTACCTAGAGCACCGTCTGCTGCTCGAACGAATAGCCTACAAACATGGCTGGTTAGATGGCCAGAGCATGGTTGACTGCGCCACTGAAATGCTCGAGTTGACAGTCTTAATTTGGGTACAGCGAGACCGTTTTGTCACGCATGAGCCCGATTTTGACTGGATGCTTATGGTATGGGGTGTACCATCTTCCGGGGTACTTTGTGTGGAATTGCTAAAACAGTTAAAAAATCCTGGTGCTCCTCATCCCAGATTCAAGCGAAGTGAAATCGTCCAGAACCTCAGCTTACTCATTGGGTTCCTGGACTGGGTGCGGCCTACTGCGGGTAATTATCAACTCTGTACTCGCATGAAGTTGATTATCAAGAGGATATTGGATCAGATTTTGGACCCGAGTCTGCCTTCCGCATCCGTCCAACAAGCGAACAACGTTCAGCTCGTAGAGCCTATGGGTGATTGGATGATGGGTCAGTCCTATGGCCCTGGTGATGTAATAGGGCCGTTCGACATGGCAGTCCCGCCACCAGGAGCGTTTGATATCAACAGCTATGAGAACGGAGTCGATAATTTGGATTGGCTCAATAACATTGATTGGTCAAGAGGGGGACCATGGCTCGATTTTGGTGTTGAGCAGGACATGGCGGGGATGAAAGCGAGTAGCGAGTTTTGATAACGAGGCAATGAGACCTGAGTGAGGTGTTTATTGCGTTGCTCATAATCGCGTACTAGTGCACCACGGGACACTATATCGGCCCATCTTTGGGCAATGACAAGAACAACAAGGAGACGGGTGCTAATTTTTTGCCTGAAGCCGCGGAAGCTTTCAGGTCTCCCATACTCGTCACGAACGTCATTCTTCAATCACAGTCATTGGAGCCTAGGGTCCTCTTGCACGCCAGCGTGGTGATTACTCCGAGCAAGCTCAGGGGTTTAATTAAACGGCAACTAGCCGTTTGCAGCTGAAGAAATGGGAGCTTTGTTGCATATCGTTTCAGGAGGCGGAGGATATCCGTCCAAATCTACGGAGTATACTCGAGGAAAATAAGCTTGTCGCTAGTCCTCTCCAAAGCTTCAGGTCCGCCGCCGTTTGGGGGGGACTCGTCTCATTTCGGCCAAATACGCTCTAGAAGAACGGAATGAGGCACGAAGCTGGCTTAATGGTACCATATGATCATACGGGTGCTTAGAAAGCCTGTGAGTCTGGCTGGTAAAAGCCTCACTGTGAGGCAAAAGAGCAAAGTTCCATTTTGCCCGATGTCTGAACAGCTTCATTGCAAACCGCAGGCGAATAGACGGTACTTTTACATCTGCTTCGGGAGAGAATAAATCTTATTCCAACACTTCAATCAGAAGCACGCGTGTGTTTCCTGGTATCTCTCCCTCGATTTCAACCCCTCGGAGATGGGTCTCCAGGGAGAAAAGATAAAACTAGTACCTAGGGTAGGTAGCACGTCACGCAATACGCTTTATCCAATTAGTGCGTGCGTGCCAGAGAGGAATTGCGAAAGAGAATGGAAGGGATGTTTACTGCACTTCGCAGGCGCGGGGTAGTGATGATAGATAGTTCATTGGAATTACGGCTTACTGCTTTTAGATATACAGATAAGTTTTGTTGCATTTCACTGCGCTGCTGCACGATGATGTAGGTAGGTGTTTACTAGTTGTTGCTTTTTTGTGGAGATGGTTGGACTTGTTTAGTACGGTTAGATCGACGGTAGTTGGTGTGATGATGGTACTAAGTAGTACGAATAAAAAGAAATGCTCTGGAAAGGGGGTTTTGTTGCAAGTCGCGTTCAGCCCTGTCCTTGCAAGTCTTTGGGGGGGGGGGGGTTCTTGATTGGGATTAGGTGGACCGGAGTGATGGATGGAAAGGCTGAGGGAGAGGGAGGGGGGAAGAGGGAAGGGGGAAGTGGTGCGTGGGTTTTGTGTTTGAGGTGAGATATGCATATGGTGTTTGGATCTTTAGAGTGAGTATACATATACTTACTGTAGGGTTTCAAGTTCATTCATTCACTGCCTCTATTGAATTATATATAATTCCCTTGATTTGATGTTCTTTCATTCCTCATAATCTATCTGTATGACGGGATATCTTCTTCACTTAACCCTTGGTTCCCTTGCTCAGGAAATCAAAAGCTTAGAAATGGAAGGAAAGAAAGTTTTGTTGCATTTCGTAATAGAGGCTTATTCAGTCTTTACTTTCCTGATGCGGTAGACTGGACTGGACTGGACTGGACTGGAACGCTAGATAGGAAGGAGGCTTAACCCGTTGGAGAAATATAGGGTATTTTATTGCATATCGCACTTTGTGTGACATGAGGATTTGGAAAGGGAGTGCGCAAACCTGTTGTTGTGGTGGCCGGGCCGAGCCGTGAAGTGATTGAGGTTGAGGTTGGGGTTGAGGTTGAGGTTTGAGATGCTGGTGTGCTTGCTATATGCAGTATACTATATAAAGGGGATTCTGCCTGCCTTAGCTGGGAACTTCTGCAGGGCTGACTGTTTCCGAGTTCAGAGTTGGAATTGGCGGGTCTGTGTAGGAGGAGTGCAGGAGTTATTAAGGGGTACCTAGGTAGTAGGTATCTGATTTATATATATATATATAACATCGGTAATACCGTAGTACCGTGAGCCGTAGCTTATCCATCCATTCATCCATTCCCCTGTCCACCTTGTACGAAACCTCTCCCACCTTCCTTTCCCCCACCATCCATCTCCCCTTCAATCCCCTCACCCACGATGACTCGCAGGGTAATCATTGGAAGTCAGTCCTTTTGTTGCAAATCGTAAAAAAGATGATCTGCAGACTCGGATACAATCTCGGTCGTGGAAGGCGAGTCTAGACCGGTCTGAACAGGGAAATGTGGGGCTAGTCTGGTCTGGGTCGGGGTCTGGCTGGCGAAACGAAAGGATACTGTACCTTGATGGGCTGAGTTGGGCTGGGCTGGGCTGGAACTCTTGCCACGGATAGATACTCCGTACACCGTAGTATGGGATTATCACGGGATTATCATAGACTGGGATTGTTTATTTTATCGTAGGGTATCGGGAATATAAGAACGATGAATGAGTGAATGAATCAAGGTTTTGACTACAAAGAGAGAAATATAAATATAAATTTGCTGCCTATAGGAATACACATGACATACATTACTCAACTCTTGGAATGAACACGCCAAATGTACAGAGTGGGATCTACATACAGACAATCTAGCTACTTAGCTCTCAAACATCACATGAGCATTCTCGTGGGGCTGAGCTAGACTCCTAGCTATAGCTGGCACCCCTAGTCTTCAAACCCGCAATGTTTGTCTAACATTTACATTGCTAGGATGGAAGAAGTTGGTAGACTGTATAGTTATTATCATATAATCATCATAATCACCTCCAAACCCAGCGCCAATCCCATGCAAATATGCTGACCCCTCCGTCCAAGAACACCTACACACACCACCCTACCCTCGTCATTTCCTGCTTCGTCATGGCGATATAGGTGTCGCGGTGGCATCTTCCACTGCTTCTGCAACCGCACTAGATCGATCTGCTGCATCGTATTTCTTCGGAATTGTCTCGGCCCATTTCTTGGCCTCTTCAGACGGCGCTACGACCGGCTCATCATCCATATCTTCCTCATGAAACTTGGAGTGATGCGGGATAGACACCAGATCCTCCTTTTTAATCTCCACGCTGTGACTAGGCGTATGATGGTTCGAATCCGCATCAAAGATGCTCTCCTCAAAACTGTCCTGTGTATTTGGCCGATTGTCCACAGGGCTAATCAATGCCGCCGATTTCTCATTTCTGTAAGACGTCGGGCGTGGACGTGATATCCAGTCCTCTTTCCCCTTTTGCATCCCCGACGAAGTGCTATTTCTCCCCCATCCCGACTTCCGCTTCTCGCCCACCCACGTGCCCCAGCTACCGATATACGCACCGGCTTTAGAGCCGACGCTCTGAACCGTCTGTTTGGCACCGTTGAGATCCGGGGCTTGGAAACCTTGGGGCGGAGGGGTGGTTCCATTTCTCTCTGCTTCTCGTCTGGCCTCTTCGTGTTTCTTCCTCTGGCTTTCTTTCAGAGCTTCCATGTCTGCGTATAACCTGTTGAAAACCGTGTTTGCTTTCTCTCTCCCTGCAGCTAGATTCCTACCTAGAGCTTCCTTGCCAACAGCAAATCGCTCATCGAGGTGGAATTCCTTGACTTGCTCCGCAATCCGGCGCTGCACATCATCGATTGTAAGACCACCTGCGCATGGATGCTTAGGAGGGACGATATCGAAGAGATTTGAGTCCGTATGCCGTTCCCAGATGCGATAATTTTCACTCCGAGTCCAGGCTTCGATCCAGTCAACGCCAAAATCTTGAGAGGGGTCACCTTCTACTTGGGGCAGGGTGACTTTCGGGTTGTGTGCGTGGTGGTTTAGGTAATTGTGACATTTTACCGAGGCTATTAGTGATAGAAGGTATTCTTCAAATTGTAGACGAATGAATTCTTCTGAGCCGACGTATCCCATGGTATTTGGCCGGCCCGGATTTGTTTCATCCCAAGTGTCGTTCACAGATTGTGTCAGGAAGTCCATCCAGCGGCGATCAGCAGCTGAGAGAGTGAGCGCTTGTCGCAAGGACGCAGAAGTGATGTTGATTGTATTTTCATCGAGGTTGACGAGAATATCGCTATAACGATCTTTCTGTTGCAGGAGAAGAGAGTTTGTAGAGCCTACGATGTATGTCTTTGTCCCGTAGTCTGCTAGCATATCGAGTTGTTGCAAAGGGGTATAAGGCCCAAAAAGACTTCCCTAACGAACTCGGTTAGTGGGTATTTACAGCAGGGGACTCGAACATACCTTTCCAAATATTTGTAAAGGTAAACCCATATAGGCTAGTAACGAACTCCTATCGCTCAGTTTCACACTCGTCGCTTTGACCAAATTCTTCTCGTAATTATCCATTTCGGGATCTGCACAGTCCTGAAGGTTTCTTATGAGGCCTGGGATCAAAGATATGAGTGAGAATTGCATCATGCACAACCTCTCACACCTGGATCCAAAGAAGAGCATCTACTTGGTATTTAGCATGGCTCTTCCGTAAAATCCCATACGACAATGCTTACCTTTGGCTGCAACAAGCAACATTTAAACAGCACCAATGTCTGCCACTTGAATTCTCTCACCAACTCGCGCAAGCTCATCCCCAAATATTCCTCCCTATCTTCTTCAGCAAGCCCAACGCCCCTTTCTTTCTCATCTTTCAAGCTCTCCTGGAACCTCTTCAGAATTTCCGTATCCGTAAACTCCTTCTGGGCGAACCAAGCACTTGTCACCACGCTCAACCGTTCCCTCAACATGCCAAAGAATTGAGGCGAGTCAGCTATCACCACAACTGCCTTTTGGACCGTGGATCGTGTAACATCTGCGGGTCTATTGAGGAGGAGAGAAGCGTCCATCTGTCGCGTACACGAGATGCCGAAGAGGGAAGTTGCAGGTAAGGAGCCGCGCGCGGGGCGAAGGAGGGTGAAATAGGAGAAATCTTCAGACGACCTGTCCGTAACCGTCTCGGTCAGCTTCCAAATATGCAAGCTAGGAATAGAAGGATACTCACGCATGCGCTCCATCACTCAATGCCATGAACGGCAGCAAAGGCCAATCATAGTCGGCAGCTGGATCTACTCCCTCCTCAGCTCCGAACCAGTCTTCTACCTCTGGGCCTCTGAATTGTTCCTCGTCAGCCCAATGCCATGTTCAGTTGCACCTTTAACAATAAGCTATCCTTACCTAGCATGGTGAAATCCGACAACTGTAACGAGAGGTATAAAGCCATTGCCCCCGGGGGTAAGCTCTGCCTCCTTATTCTCCATCTTGTACAGTGCGTCCCACGCGTTCGTGATCAGCCCAATTCAAATCCTCGCTCCTCGTCGTTTCCTGGTTCTTCCCAAGATCGAAAAATGCCCTCGTTTTGTCGAGAATAAGTCGTAGCTGCTCAACACATTGTGGCTCCTGTCGTAAGACGCGATTAAAAAAAGTAAGTTAAGTTTAGGATTGTCGATCCAGGGGGAGAAGGCAAGGTCCGAGTCAGCTCTCCTCTCCTCGGTTTCTCCCAATCTTTTGTAGGGATAAATTGGTTATGAACACGTCTTGCTTGATTGCTGGGTATCGTACAGGTTCTCTCTTGATATGGTAGAGTACATACAGTACAGGCGCGATTTTTCTGACCGCTCACTCACCACAATCGATGCAATGCCATCTGCAAGGCCAGCGAATCCATTGATTCCCCATCCCTGATAGCGTCGCCAATCATGACCCGACGAGCCGGGATGCATCGATTGGTGGATGTGTGTCACGTGTCTGTATTATATCCTGTGGTAGTGCATTTGCTTGTGCAAGTCATATAAACAACGTGGGTGATAGGATGGCATTGATGGCATTCTATTTTCCGACGCGTGTCTATTGGGTGGTGGTATTATATGTATATGCTGCTGGATCTCTTCTAGGAAGGTCGGTGATGCAAGTTCTGGAACTAGCCCTCGTACTGCAGTCTGCACATGTTTCATACATACTCTAGCATTGATGTTGGTATGCAAGTCATTAGAGAGAATCTTTGGTTCGGCCCTCCTGCAGTCAGATCTAAAAGGGGGCGAGTTCGTTTCTCCTGTTCGTCAATGCTATTATTCATATGTCTCCTTGGATTTCCGGGGTTTCGTTAATGTCCCGTGTCTTTTAGCAGAATGCTCTGTCTCAAGTGAGAGTAAGCAAGTGTATTTGCTGATAAATAACTAACTGCCAGGCGTGCTATTCATGGTTTTTACATGCCAAGCGGCGAAGGCATGTTGGGAATGGTACTTCAGTCAATTTTTATGGTCGGTTCACTAGCAAGACCATCCCTTTTACAAGTCACTCTTGCAAAGCAGAGCTGTGTTGGAATATCTTCCCGTATTTGAATGGAATCGTAATGCAGTGGATACCGACAAGTTGTTCTTCAATCCCTCTCTAACCACAACGTATATTGAAGATTAGCACAGGCCATCTTCTAGATCAAGAACGGTGTAGCACGCATACGTACATACAATTCACTTCTAGACTTCTATATCAAGTCGATAATGTGTCTCAGAAGCTCAATCGACTCATGTTCTCTAATGACAAAGACGGCGCAAAAATCGGCGTATCTTCCCTCGAGAGTGGCGAATGCAAAAGGCAGGTAAACAAAACCTATTGATCAATGTTCAATTCGAATCCAGGACAGGGACATCGCGTGATATGGAAATTATGAACGCAGTTACGTGTAGGGAAATTGATAGCTTGAGGCAAAATCTAGTTATTACTGTCAAGATACTGAATGCTGTCAAGGAAAAGCGTTTGTTCGTTTGTTCCTTCATCGCTTTCAGATGAAATTGGTAGGTAGTCAGGAGCCTCGTGAACCAACATCATGCTAGCTCCATCCCGTACTGGATGGAACCTATGGTCTTCCATGACAACTGTATAAGCCTCTCGCCGTTTTGACTGCCGAGCTCCTTCCACTAAAGATCATGCAGGGAATCTGTGTAATCGTATCTACCACCCAGTGGTGGTAGGTCTAACAAGTTTACCTGTTTGTCTGGATGGAATGGGATGACTTCCCGCGTGTATTTGGGGTATTTCGTTGTGTGGGGAAGAGCCGGGTATTTAAGTGCTATGGTCGAGAACCTCGCCACGGCAAGAGATCTTGACTCCGCCAAATTTGGGAAACGTGGTGAGGACCATCTTCGCTTGTCAGATATAAAATGGTAGAGTTGAACTACGAGAATGAGATACTCTTTATACCCCTAGAAACAAACGTCATCCATCATACACAAGTAGGAAAACCCGGGGGACGGCTTTTCGGGAGAAACTACCAAGATCCAGTTGTCCTATTAAAGCACGGCTATTCCTCTGCCAATGGAATCATGATATTGAATACATGGATTGAATATATTCATCTTTGGAGAGGTTAATGGTTGACCAGTATATCGGGGTTCTCAAAAACATCACAGTCCAATCGTATCCGATGGTCTCCAGAAGAAGTTGGCCAAGCTGCACTTTGTCCAAGCCCCCCCTCTCACTTTCACATTCAACAGCAACTCACTCCACTTTTATCTACAGTAAGTGTCATCACATCCGACGAACGATTTTTGCTGTCAAACCCTCTTTCGTTCATTCATTCCTCGAATCTCAATACTCGAGTAAACCATACCCCATAACCGAACAACACCTCCGAATCCCCAAAATCGTAACGGCTCACCCCGTGTAGGAGCAGTCGGGTAGTCAGGATTGTTACCCAGCACAGTCCAGCCTTCCCTCCACTCCTCCAAAACCACCCCGAAGTCCATGCCAAGAACCATCGATTTCGAATTTCAAAAGCAGCGTTACGTACGTATGTATAAGAGAAAAGTAAGCAATACAACTCAACCAACTAAGCTAAGATGAAAAAACACACGCAAACGAAAAATCCATACATAAAACCACCATCCACCGCTCTCCCACAAGACACAAGAAAACACGTAGAATGGAAGAGAGGTAGGCTATGTGTCGATATCCTTGCCTTCCTTCCTTCCCTTCAAACAAAGACTGCAAGGCAAGACAAATAAACTACAAACTCTGCTCACCCAATCATGTTTTGTTAAGATGATATATCGTCACACCCACACCTACACCCCACAGTTAAACGTCAAATACTGTCAAAACCCCTCCTGCTGTCAAGAACCTTATTCTTTCATTCACCCAACGCACCACAACCTTCTCAATTTCCATATACCTCTTTGCTGCTGCTACTGCTGTTGCAGTTGCAACATTCGTGTGAGAAAGAAGCTCAACTCTCTCCCCAATTCGTTTGCGTTTGCCATCCAAGTCTTCTGCAGCGTACCAATGCTATATACTGCCATCATCCTTCTCCTCTTAGATAGAATCATGTTAAACAACTCAGCCCCGTGTAACGAAGTATCCACGATATTGAAAGCTCTGCAACTTACTCTCGCTTCTTGATAGCGCAGTGAAGATGTACGTACGAGGGGAGGGGAGGGAACCCGTCAAATAAAGCAAGGCGGGCTTACTCGATGCTTGACTGAATCTTGCAAGCCGTATCGAGTACTGTATGTGATGTCAACAACTACGCGGGAAAAATACCAAGACGGCAGGAATTCACATCCACATTCACTCCACAGTCACAATCTCCCAAAACCCATCATAGAGGTGAGTCTTCATTCTCATTGATATCTACCGCGCGCCTCATAACATCTCGCACCCTCAGGGAAGGGGCTTGCTTGCTCAGTTTACCCTGCCAATCCATGCAGTAATGTATCATCTCACTCGTATTGTGGGCCGAGGAAACATAATAAGAGAAAAACCCGAAAAAATCGGGCTAATGAAAACAAACTCGAAGACCAGTCTCCGAACCCCAGGCCATCGCAAAGCAAGAAAGAAAATTGTTTGAGAGAATCCCAGTGCAGTGCCCGATATCGTGTTCTCTTTTGCATCTGTCTCTCCTATGAATCGTTTCGTGTATTTCGTGTTCCTCCGGAAGGAGGTTTATTTATTTTGTGTGGTGTGTGTGTGGAACCCATCCATGCGTAAAAGACATCGCAATTCAACTTTATCATTGACCATTCGCAACATATTGAGCCTGCTGAGCCTCGAACGGCCCATCGGTACCAATCTGTGGCTGAACGCCAGCGACATCAGCGCCCCCACCTCCAGCTGTGACGTTGTGATAGTCAAGAATCTCGGAATACCTACAAAGAAACAGAACTTAGTCAGCCTAACACTCTCTTTGTGTCCTATGCTCTGACCAACCCCAACCCGCGCCCGCCCAAGCTCTTCGAAGTTGAAAAAAAAGAAAGGTTTATCCATTCCAGTAGTGCGGATGAAGGGCGCAGCTAGTGTCTGAATTTCCCTTTTCTTCTCCTCCTAAGACTGAGTGGCATATTGGGTCGGGTGCTCTTCCTCCCATTCAGAAATTTGCTCGTACATCATGATTTTCCATGTGTCCACTGGCAAGTCCGCATCATTGAATGACCAGTCAAACTTCTCCTCTGCTACGGGCTCGTCGGTTGGGTCGTGGTATGGGGAGAGGTATTCGTGTGCCAGGGCATCGGCGGCCTTTACTCGCTTCCGGGGGTCAAACACTAGCATGTCTTCTAGAAGGTCGATGGCTGTCAAATATTAGCATAATTCAGAAAAGAATCTTGAGAGACACATACCCAATGGATCGGCGTTTCTAAACTTGTCCTTCAAAGGTTGCCTCTCACGCTTTGGTAGCGATTGAACAAATCTCAACGTCTAGACACTTATCAGCACACCTCAAACATAAATTACACGCTACCAAGCCTTACGTTCTCGCTGGCAATTGTGTGGATAACATCATCTGGAGGTGTTCCGAGGAGCTCCGTGATGATAGAAAACTGGTTGACATGATCTTTTCCTGGGAAAAGAGGCTTGCCCTCCAGCATCTCTGCGAAAATACAGCCCGCGCTCCAGATATCTACCTCCACATCATACTTTTGCCATGTAAGCATGATCTCCGGCGCTCTGTAGTATCTTGTAGACACATATCCGGTCATCTGGGGATCTTGCAGACGGGCAAGGCCGAAGTCGCAGATCTTGAGATCGCAGTTCTCGTTTACGAGAATGTTACTGGGCTTGAGATCGCGATGGACGACACCTGCGGAGTGGACATACTTGAGACCGCGCTAAATGAGGTTAGCATATTTAGTGCTCGGAAGGAAGCGCGGGTAGTATTTACCAGGATCTGGTAGAGGAAATATTGGATGAATTGCTTCTCTAGGGGTCTTGAGGTGAGGAGACGGTGCAAATCGGTGCCGAGGAGTTCGGTGACGAAGTAACTGCAGTATTTGTGAGCGGAGAGTGGCGGAAAGAGGGGCAGAGGGGTTAAATCATACATATCCTCAAGAGGCGAGATGAAGATATCACTGAGCGAGATGACCTGCGGAGTAAGATCAGCCTTGGATTCCTGCCGCCGCAGTGGGCGTGTTAAAAAACGCACATTCTCATGCTTCAAGTGCTTCAGCAGCTTCAATTCACGGTATGTTCGCTTAGACAAGACTGGCGTGCTGAAGGGCTTCATAATCTTCTTCACAGCGACGCTTTGGTTGGTGAGGTTATCTTTGGCGGAGCTGTAGACAAACACGCGCATCCATCAATCAGCACCATGCATCAATCAACGCTCCCCGGCGCCAGCGCAGAGGGGAAAGGGGAATTATCATACCAGACCAAGCCAAAGGCGCCCATGCCAACAGGTTGGAGATCAGAGTATCTGCGCAGAAAGAATTAGCCATCGCGGTAGTAAAAAGAGGCCATTCAAGATGGCGCCCCAATAGCCTCGTTGAGGGCTGCCCCGCGTACCTGGATGTGATTTCGAAGGTTGTGCCGAAGATCTGGGCTCGTACGAATTCGGCCATGATGTTTCGCGGGGTGACTCGAGGTCAGATTGCGGGGTGGTGGAGAGAGCGTCGTGGAAGGGATTTGGTGGTTCTGGTTGTGGTTGTGCCTGAAATGTTGTGTAGAGGGCAAACGTTCACAGAGGATGAAGGAAGTTTGCAGTCGCTCAGATCGAGTCGCGATTGCGGTTGTGGTTTCGACTTTTGGAGGGGCCTCGTTGTCGTTTAAGGCAGGGTGCGATGCGGTACAGTAGTCTCCCACCTAGGTAGAGATAGTACAAGCGAGTAGGCAAAAACTAGAAGTTGATTCGGCAGGCGCTTTTCCAATGCAAGGCAATGTGAGGCAGCGCTGCTTGTAGATTTTGACGGATGAGACCGCTCTTTGCATACAGTATACCCTGACCTGAATTCAGAGTGAGACTTTTAATGCGATTCTGATGTGTGTGTGTGTGTGTGTGTGTGTTATCGAGGCAAAGGGCAAAAGTTGAGTGCGAGAGGAAGGTCAAGCTCTGGCCGCCCTTGTTGGAAGCATCAATTCACAATATAGGCTGGACATGGGGTAGGGTATGTATGGTATGGTAAGGTATATTCGTAGTCGTTAATTAGACGCTCAATTTCCACCAAGCTAAGCTGCGCTGCTCTCCTCTCCAGCGCAGGGACTTGGTTCTATTAGTCAAATATGTCGAAGGATGGGAAAGTGGGCGGTGAAGACACAGAATTGGAGTTTGGCATCTAGTGCATTATGGAAAAGTGCGAAAGCAGAGAGAGTTCGAAAAATGCCACCGGTGATTAATTCATTCATGAGTGGCAAGAGGAAAGGCGATATTTAAATACCTTACATGGTGTAAATACATATTGTTATTACAACATACCTCACCCTTTTCCTGCGATTCCTATCGCTGTTTTATCTTCTTCTTGATTTACAGTAGGGGTCCAAGGTGGGTGGACCTGGATCGGGCCAGGTGAGACTTCCGGAATGGTATGGAGGGGCGAATAGAGGGGTACTTATTAGTTAGGGTGTTGAGTGAGACCAGAGTGAACTTCCTAGGGACGTTTTCTTCCTCACTCCCTCCACTCAACATAGCCCATCCCATCCCTCAGGTAATACTTGGGCAAGACTAAGTAAGGTACCTAGGGCTAGGTACTATACCAGTTGCGATACTACCAAGTATTGCTGACTTTGTCCTACAACTCACACCTACAACTCACACCTACAACAACATCTCCAAATCCCCTAAAGCAGCGCCGATTCCCACACCACTTACGTCATCGTCAGAGTACCTGTCCTGTACAGGCCCACGACTTGGTACCAGTTCCAGTATTTCGATCTGAATACCTGCATGGTCCACTTAAAACCCCGCCAGTCTCCGGATATCAAGATTCGCAAGAGAGAACATTAAAATACATGTCATCGCATAAACGGTACGGTAGGTACGGTTATGTCTAGAAATCCTCAACCTCAGACTTCCCTTTCCCTTCCCTTTCCTCCCACACCCACCTACCTGCAGTTCAAGAAAAGCCCTGATGATCATGTCCTAATCCGTGCCAGGACTGACTTACCCTTCCGGAAGAGAGAGCCTCAACCCGGTCTATATTTCGGCATAACCACCAGCATAAACTTTCCTTTTACTTTTCCCGTTCCCACAAATCCGAACCGTGACCTAAGTAGAAAAAGAACGGAAAAGGTTAGATGCCGATGAACCGTTACTAATCCCCCGTTGGGTACGAAAATAGAAGTTACCAATCAATAGCTTTCTCTAATATCACGTGATTAAAGCACATGACCCGTACCCTCTCTATACCAACCACTATCTCGAATCACAAAACCCTCGGCCATTACCGCTAAAGACTCTGCTGCACAAAAATTGTAATTAATTACCCCCAAAAGGTCAGAAGTATATCTAGGATTCATAGCCGCATAATCAATCTACCTCGGACTTCTAAAAGAAATAAACTCTATCCACTATCCACTCTTCATTCACAATTCTTCCTTCCCCAACCCACTCTCCTTCTCAACCGGCAGCGGCTCCACATTCCAGATCATCTCCGCATACTCATTAATACATCGATCACTACTGAAAAATCCCATCCTCGCCACACTCAAAATCGTCTTCGTAATCCACTCGTCCTGGTTCTTGTACGCCTCATCCACAAGCGCCTGAGTCTTAATGTAAGAGTGGAAATCATCGGAAACGAGGTAATAATCCCCATGGTCTTCGATGGAGCCGGTGAGGGCGCCAAACGCGCCGGCGTCGCCAAAAGCATCGGATTTGATCAAGTCAAAGACTTTGACGAGGTCGGGGTCCAATGTATGAGAGCCGTAGTTGTGCGTGTGACGGAGGTCTTCCACGTCTTCGGCGAGGTTGCCGAAGAGGAAGATGTTATTCTCACCGATTTCGCGGGTTATTTCGATCTAGATTTTGTTAGTGGAATAAGGACCAGGAAACTGGAATACTCACATTGGCGCCGTCGCAAGTCCCGATAATCAAACCTCCATTCAAGACAAACTTCATGTTGGATGTACCACTGGCTTCAGTACCAGCAGTGGAGATGTGCTCACTAATATCACTAGCTGGAGTGATTATCTCTGCCTTGGAGACATTGTAGTCTTCCAAGAAAATTACCTTCAGGAGATCGCCAACATCTGGGTCCTTGTTAACCACTGCACCAACATTGTTGATGAGATGAATGATAGTCTTGGCCATCCAGTACCCAGGAGCAGCCTTGCCACCAAAGATTGACACACGAGGTGCCAGCTTCTTTCGTTCTTCGGCGGTCATAGCCTTGATGGTCAAGTATCGGTGGATAACACCAAAGATGTTTAATTGTTGACGCTTGTACTCGTGTATCCGCTTGACTTGAATATCAAACAATGCAGAGGGATTGACCGTTACTCCGGTAGTGCTTTTGATGTACTTGGCAAGCTTGACCTTGTTGGCATACTTGATCTCAGCCCACTCCTTCTTGAATTCCTTGTCATCCGCAAATTTCTCGAGTTCATTAAGAACATTGAGATCCTTCAAGAAACCAAGACCGCCAGTCTTGCTGGCAATCAATTCCGACAATCTTGGATTAGCTTGATGCAACCAGCGTCTTGGTGTGATTCCGTTGGTGACATTGGTGAATTTGTCAGGTCCAAAGATCTTGACGAAGTCCTTGAAAATTGTGGTCCTGATCAAGTCTGAGTGAAGCTCTGCAACTCCATTGACCTTATGAGAGCCTACTATGGCTAAGAAGGCCATACGAACCATCTTCGGCTGAGACTCCTCAATGATTGAAACGCGCGCGAGCATGTCTCGGTCACCAGGGAACTTGCGTTCGACACTTTGCAGGAAGAACATATTGATGTCGTAGATAATCTGGAGATGTCTGGGGAGGAGATTCTGGAACAACGGGACGGACCACTTCTCCAACGCTTCTGGGAGAACAGTGTGATTCGTATAGCCGAACTTTTAATTCTGTTAGCCTATTTCAGATTTCAGGGCCAAAATCGAACTCACAGTATTGGTGACAATAGCCCAAGCCTCATCCCAGTCAAGGCCTTCCATATCAATTAGGATTCGCTGCAGCTCAACAATGGCAAGTGTTGGATGAGTATCATTCAGCTGGATGGCAATCTGGTCGGGAAACTCGCTCCAAGCACGCTTGGACTTCTTGAATCGTCGAACAATATCGTACAGAGAGGCAGCAACCCAGAAGTACTGCTGCTTCAATCGAAGCTCCTTACCACGGTCGAGGTTGTCGTTGGGGTATAGCACGGCGCTGATCGTCTCGGCTCGTTGCTGATCGGCCACAGAGCTCTCGTAGTCACCACTGTTGAACTTTTGGAAGTCAAACTCTCCGCTAGCAGCTTTGCTGGACCACAGACGCATGTTGTTGGTTGTAGGAGTGTTGAACCCTGGAATTGGTACATCATAGGCCACGGCCCTGACAATTTCACCACCTTCCCATACTGCGACATTCTTTCCATCATCGTCCTGGTATTTTCTGACGCCTCCGTAGAATTGGACCTAGACATTGTTAGCTAGAGTAAACAGCTTTGAAGAGAAGGCTTACATCAACCACAATATCGTGTCTAGGGAATTCCCAAGGATTGAAGTCAAGCCAGTAATCTGGAACCTCAACCTGGTACCCATCAACAATTTCCTGCTTGAAAATGCCGTATTTGTATCTCAGACCATATCCCCAAGCCGGGAAGTTCAAGGAAGCCATGGAATCGAGGAAGCAAGCAGCAAGTCTGCCAAGACCACCATTTCCAAGCGCAGCATCGTGTTCTTGGTTGATGATATCTTCGATACGGAATCCGAGTTCCGAGAGGCCCTCTGTCAGTAGTAGAAATGTTAGCAAATACACTTTCCAAAGGTATAGCCGGGAGAAGACCGGAATACCACATACCTTTAGCAACATTTTTCAACCCCACATTCAACATAGCATTATCCAACGCCCTGCCCATCAAAAACTCCAAACTTAGATAGTAAACCCTCTTCGTATCCGCGAAAGTCTGCCTCTGCTGCGTCCGGTTCCACTCAGTGATCAAGCGATCCCTGAAGGCCAGACTAGCAGCCGCATACGCAGCCGTCTCGTCGCAATTGAACATGCTGCGAGCGAGTGTGGTTTCGACATGGCGCACGACCTCTTTCTCAAAATCGTCTTTGGATACCCATGGCTTGGCTTGGAATTTCTTCCAGGCATCACGTTGGTGTTCGGGGATTAACGCTGTTGGGGGCACGGAATGTTAGCCTGGTGGTTACACTGCCAACACGCCATGAATGGATCTGAAAAGATAGCTTTGCAGAATTACACACAGAGGCAGGAAATCCTATATACATACCTTCAACACTCTTGATTTCCCCAGCGCCAAAACCCGTAAAAGTACGCTTATGCTTGGGTCTTGTGAAACCCGGGCCAACCGGACCTTGAATATCGGTGATGGGGGCACTCGTCGAGGGACGGCGCTCTCTCGGGGCTGTGGGTTTGGACATGTTTACGTTTTCGGCGGGTTTGTTGCCGTTGAAAGGGTCCTTAAAGCTGCCGGCGAGAATGGGAGACATCTATTAAATAGGAAGGGCCCTCGGCGGATCGACGATTCACAAGACGGTGAACGGGTGGTCGACTGGACTGGGATCAACTGGTGATGTGCTATACTGCTAGCAGGTCCAGGCGTGGCTGCAGACGCGGGAGGGGAGCCGGTGCGGGGTTGGGTAGTTTGGTGGGTTGAGTTGCTTATGGCTGGTAGGAATAATATGGTATCGTTGGTACGGAGTGAACAATGATGAAAGCAATGCAGTGTGTTTGTAGGAATGTCAGAGTTATTGATTAATATCTCAAGCTGAGTGAAAGAAAGACCCTATCCACGTTCTCTCTGAATCTGTGAAAACAGACAGAGCTCCCCGCCCCGCCCTGCATAGCTCTTTCTCATGATATCTATCGTATGATGTTGGGTTGCAGCAGCATACTTTTGACAGCTCTAGCTAGGTACCTTAGCTCACCTGGGCACTCCAGGGATGCAGCTTCCTTTCCTTCCGATGGTGGCGTCGGGGTCCAGCTTTCCCAAGTACCTTATCCACTTAGACTGATTACAGATTACATACTGTACGGAGGTACGAGTGAAGTACAGTACCTGAAGTGGCTTGGCAGATAAGAAATATAAATATGGTGCTGTTGTGGCGAAACTTTATAATTCAGTAGGTTCTATTATTATATCTGCTCTTCCCCTTTCCCACTACATTTATTTACGAGGGTACCTGTTTTTCTTACCCACGTGGTAGCACTTTCACTTTATTTGCAAAGAGAAGCTTCCGAGATAACAAGTGAGCGACGTTGGGGGACCTGTTACACCAATCCCACTATACTATCAATCCGCTCATCAGCCAATAAGAACAGCTGCATGATGAACTGCACGTTTTCACCGCTATCAGTACTCTACGGAGTACACGGTATTCTTAGGTATTCATCTGACATCCAGGTGCAGGTGCTACAAAGCGTCTCGTCTCGCGTACATGCAGTCATACTGCGCCGAGCTCACAATGTCAGTGATAGCGTCTGAAGCTCGAAGACCCCAAGAGATTCACTTAAAACAATCGTGGTGAGTATTTTGCCTTTTCCATTTTTGATCCGTGTCGACAACTTTCTACAGCCACCATGTGAACCTCTCCTCCGAGAGCGCCGCCTTCTTTAGATCCCCCGCCCATACCGCTGTCCCCTAAGAATATACGGAAAAATACTCCGAAAGATATTTCCAGCCCTTCTCCGCACCCGCACCCCTTTCCAACTATGAACGAGAATTTGAGTAGTCATGCAGAAGGAGCCACATCTCATGTCGTGTATAGTGCACGCCTCTCATCAAGAAAACCAGTCAAGGTCCAGTTACATCTTCCAGCTATCATGAATTTTGCAGCGAGCAAAGTCCGTAGCACCCCGTAAGTCTTGGTCATACAACCACTCCAGAACGCCCCGAACAGAAGTAGCTCAGCAATCCAAGCAAAACACCGACTCCAAACCCAGAACATCAGAACTTCAAATATCCCGAGCCCAAGACCAAAAACTTCGCGCCATTATGTATCAAGTCGTTCGTAACATTAGGTACAGACTCAGAGAATCCCGGAATCCTTGAGAGCATTTTGTAAGATTGTTTCTTTGACTGCCGCGAAGACTAGTCGGATATTAGATGTATCTGTTGCTTGGGTGAGGCTACAGTTTGTTAGCAAGAGGCCCATGGAGTGGGGTAGGAGGGACCGACTGAGGGTATAGGTTTAGATGTGCTCTATTGACTTGATTGAAACGCCAAAGAAGATATTTTGACGCTCGGTTAATATCATTTCCGCCCGAGTAGTCGGGGAAGTAATTGCTGAGCGGTGATCGCCCGAGCTTCTGTCTGAAGAGATCGACTTTATTCAGGAAGAGGATAATACTGGTCCGCATGAACCATCGAGAGTTGACGACCGAATCAAAAAGCACCAGACTCTCCATCATCCGATTCTGAAATCTATTAGTAAAAGCAGACTATTGACCGGGAAAGACATACTTGATTGCTCTCCTCCAATAGCACTTGATCGTATTCGCTCAGCGCCACGCAGAAAATGATGGATGTGACATTTTCGAAGCAATGTATCCACTTTTTTCTCTCACTTCTTTGCCCACCAACATCGAACATGCTGTAAAGTTATTAGCAGGAGGTTGACAGATAAGTTCAGGGAGTATTCACTGTATGCTCAGTGACCCCATTGTAAATCTCGTCTCGTATATACCGGTGGTCTTCGTTCGTGCTCTCAGCACATCCGCTTCTATCGGTATGTAGTCCGGCGAAGAAATTCTGCTAGCCTCTTCAAAGAAACTATACTCTGTTAGCATGGTTCCCTCATCCAAAGTTTATCCAACGTACTATGGCGCCGAGTCCATCAAGTAGAATTCGCTCTGCCTCTCCATCAAAACTGCCATGGCTGGATCCATCCATAAAGACTTGATTGCCATCCCTACTTCCGGATTCAGTGTTGGAGGCTCTGTAACTACTTGGTAATTGATCAAGAAGTTGCAGTATTCTTGGTTTACTGGGATCTGGGGATCGATGTCAAATTGCCTCATCGCTCCTATCAAAGCCTTCGCACAATCGACTAGATTCTTGTAGATTGTCATCCGATACATCGACAATTCCTCCACCGTATATCCGCTCTGGTGTATAATCTTCATCTGCTTAACGATGGTTGATTTCCCACTCTCTCCGGATCCTTGAACATGTTAGCCGCTACCCCGAGCCATTATAGACGTAACACCTACCGAGCAACAGTATCTTGCATTCTCGTCGCAGTTTCTTCGAATCCTCCTCGAGGGCCCTATCAATCATCTGACTCCTCTTCTTCTGTTCCTCCGCCTCCGAATTCGAGCTTAAGCATGCCCCCATTATACCGTGTCTCTAGCTGCAAGCGCAGCCCCGCCTCTTGTGTGGATGTTATAGGCGCCGGATGGACAGCGGGATCTCTTCTCGAGGTTGACCTAGAACTCGGCTTTGTCGATCCCCAATGAATATGCTGGCGTTCTGCAATGCGCAATGACCCTTTGTTTCGTTATCCTCCGTGAAGCTCAAGATGCGACAGCCATGCAGTGACAGTGGAAACTCGAACTCGAAGATTCGGCGCGCGCGCAACGAGCCACGGTTCGCTTTCGGACAAAAGCTTTAGAGATTCGTTGGCATGGATGGTTATGGTTTGGTATCCTCCCAGTGGGGGTTGTCCTTTGCCAACCACCCAATTATTTCGACAATGGTGGGATACTTTGGGGTGGTGCTTCCGAGGCAGCGCAGCGAAGCGCAGTAAAGCGCGAGTCGCTAACGGTCGGTGAGGTGTGAGGTGAATGAGATTGAAGGCTGACCTGGGCAACGAACGACGTGGGGTCTCACAAACGGTGCGGTCGGTGATGCAAGAGATTGTCGAGTCGTCGATCGATTGATGCCGTAGAGTCCTTGCTTGGTAGAGATGGAGGTGACGGAAGCTTCGCTCAGGTTCACCGTCCGTGTACTTACTGTACAAGTAGTGTGACGCTGCTGGCTCGCTGATGCGGAGTAAGGAGCTAGAGGCGGTCGCTTGTGTTGGTGGCACTCACTTCAGCCTACAAGATGGAACTGGTTAGTGGATCCTTTGAACACGGGAAATGGATATGGATATGGATATGAGTATGAACTTACACTAACCTGCAATTTGAAATAGATATAAATGGAAACAGGCAAAATAAATGCTTTACAAAGCTGTGGTTAATTCGGCTTTGTCTTGGTGAAGATGTTCGTCTGTTTTGCCCCGTTTCTGCGGTTGGTAGGTATATGAGCTTTGAGCGTCATGCGTAGGTAAGCAAGCGGTAACGTTAAAACACGAACACGGTAGCTAGATGTGATGTATAACTCTCACAAAGTCTAAAAAATAATCACGGAGCTCGGAAAGACATCTACCCAGAAGTAAGAGTAAGTGAAGTAAAAGTCAAAGTTATTCTGAGGTTACCAGTTACACATGTAGTCACTTGTCTGCAGTCTTTAGTCCTTGTCTGGCCCAGCCCAAGGTACAGGGATTTAATTCGTGATGATTGCCTTGACAGCCTCTCTTCAACCAGAGACAGCATCAGGTCAGTGCCTCTCAAACTCTACGTTTTCTTCTTCTCAAAGAGGCAAGCCACTGGTTGCACCCCTACCAATTATTTCCAATACAGAATATAGCTGTGGAGCAGTGGAGCAGTCGGTCAATCCCAAGATTGGCAACGGGAGAAAGCAACCCTGAATTCAGCGCTGATCGATGAGTAACGCAGGCATTATGATACTGTAGCGCCCGGGTCCACCAGCTTCAAACTTTCCTTCAGAGTAGTGGTACTCGTTATGTCTACCCATATGCTCTGAAAGCCATGGACTACTCAAGTACTGTAGGAAAACTTCCTGAATAGAAGTCAACGCTCAAAGGGACATTTGTATATCCGTACGAAAACTAAGGTACAGTACAGTAGGTACGCGTAACGGCACGGCGCAGCATGAGCCGCAAGTATACAAATATAAATAGATTCTCCTTGGCAAAAGAAACTCTTCAACTAAAATCTCATCTACAATCAACACAACACGTGGCTCAATCTTGGGAGAACCGGATCAAGTCTATCAACACAATCACAATCACAATCATTCCTTGTCAATAAGAGCAATATATTCATTCCAGAGCATGTTCCCCGGTCATGCCTCCCCCATACAGTATCGAAGCAAGCCCTTGACTCGGGTTTCTCATTTCAACACCCTACAGTACAATGACGATAACGTGCCGTGGTCCCCGTGAGAAGGATGTCTCTGGCTTCTTCATCAAACCTCCACAGCCACAGCGGTTCTTCCCCTTCCTTCCCCCGGTATGCGCCTTTTAGAAATGCGGAACATCCCACTGGTCTTTACGGATGCACCGTGTCACGTGCGCCTCCTGAAAACAAGCCTAATGCAATCAATCAATCCTCCCTGCAGAAGCGATTGTATTCCAGCCTGCCACGCGACATCTGCAGGTCTTCCCCCTTTTCGTGAATACCGTATTCCTTCAGCCTTTTAACAGTTAGCGATGCCAGTTCCTCATGAGTCATTATTTTGGTATATCGTATCATTTACGAAGGGGAGTTCGTAAATCCATAAATATACATTTCCACACCTGTCAAGAAAGACGTTTATACACCTAAGCTAATAATGATTCGCCATCCTCCTGATGCTCTTTTCGTAATTGAGAGTAAAAGTGTTAACCTGCTACCTCTTATGGACATACATATGCATCTTGACACACATAGGTACATACATTGCATACAAAACAACACATATTCCTTCCCTCCCTCCCTTCCTCACAGCAAGCCACTATTCATGCTCTCTCTTACCTCATCCCAAGCTCACCCACCACCTACTACCCTTCCTTCCCAGACCTCCTCCTCATCCATCACCCAACATCCAAACCAAACAAACAAAAACACCACGACCCTACCAACCAACATGGAAACACAAACCCCCCCTCCCCTCACCCTTTCACCACCCCCCTCCTTCCTCTCCCAGCCCAGAAAACCGCCCCGTGAGTACCCCTATAATAGGTATCTAAAACCGCTCTCTCCAAAACATACATACCTACTTACCCACCACCCCCCGTGTCGAGAAAAAAGGGGCTCGCTCGCTTGCTTGCAAACTGCCTACCCGGTACTCGTACAACCCAATTTGGTAACCCAACCATAACACAACAAACTGCCAAACTGCCGGGTCCGGCCCCGTGTCTGTCTGTCTGGGTTTGGGTACCTAGGGTCCCTGCATGCATGACATGACACGGCAGTTTCACCCTCGATTCTCCCTCCCTCCCTTGCCTCCAGTCAAAAACAAAAAAAACGAGCAGGGATATTTGTTCTTTTAATTCTTCTAGAAGTACTTTAAAAATGCCTGGGTTTGTTTCTACCCTTAAAACAAGGCAGGTGGGTCACGGAATGGCCGTTGGGACCGTGTGTTTGTTTATTGCTCTGCATATGCATAGAAAAGGGGGTATAGATTTCAGAATCTTCCGAGTATGGAAGGTACTCGATTGAGTGAGCAAAGTAACAAGTTTCACAAACATCACCGAAAAAAAAAGTCTGACGTATTCTAATTTCTCTCTCATTTTGCTTGCTAACTCGCTAGCTGTACCCATCGCCAGCTAGCCAGCCAGCAATCAGGTTCGATTCACGATCTAAATCGCGAACCAAATAAGGACTAAAGGTATCTTCCACTCAAAACATGGAAAATCTGACCAAGTTCAAAACTCCTCCTACCCCTGAGCAATGCTATTCGTTATGCCCATTCATCAATGCTAGAGAGAAACACAGGCTCCGCTCCATTCGTCCGACTTCATTAGAGATGGGAAAGGAGATATTTTGCGCTGGCAGAAGACGTAGCAGCTACCGGTATATGCAATCGGTCCCGTGAAAATAAGTTGCATTTCGTTCCTTCATTAGGATCTGACCCACCCGTATATCTAGAATGCGCCTGAGATGTAAAAGGACGAGAAGGTTTTCATGCAAGGTAACCAAGTTCGTCGTCATCTAGACGCTCCAAGTATTCCTTTTCCAACAAAATGTCGATGCATTTCTTGATGTCGCCGACTTTGGGCTGGAAGCGGGTCTTTATTTGATTGATGCATTCGCCGACGAGCAAATTGTGCTTCATCTTCTTGCGGGCCTTCATGATACGCACAATAGCGGACTGGAGTCAAAGTAAGTAGATGCAAATGTTTTGGAGATACGAGTTTACTTACCTGCATGAGTAGCTTGCGGTCCTCCTCAATTGTCTTGTGGGTATCCTCGACCTCCTGCTTCTGCTCAGACTTGATAGCAATGTTGAGATTCATCCGAATTTTCTTGCTCTTGAAATCAGTGTTGAGGCTGAACACCTTGCCAGGTCCAGGCTTGTCACCCTCGGGACTCATGTTGAAAATCTTAGCCTTGAGGAAGATTCCCAACGCAGGATCCATAACGTCGGGTTGCAATTGAGTGGCCTTCTTGATATCTTCATAGCTGTTCGTACTACTCTCGTTGAACAGTAATATAATTGCCATCTGATAGGTAGAGACTTGGAAGCTGTAGGGGGTCTTTTGGTTCTTGCACCAGTTGCCTTTGACCTCACCCTTGCAGAATTGCCAGAGCCAAGTAAGCTTTCGTCCACTGTGCTTTTGACCGTAGAAAGTCTGGAAACGTTCGTAAGCTTTAGTAACCTCCGCAGGTGGCGTAAAATCGGTTTGTGGTGCGCTCAGTGGCCAGAAACCAGTACCCAAGATGGAGTAAGAAGCATCCAAGGGTCGGGCATCCCCTGGCTCTACGAGCTTGCCCTCAAACTCCTTATAACCACTGTTCAGATCCTTGGAGATTTGCATGTCCTGGAACATACGCTGAAGCTTATTGGTGTATTCATAACCACACTGCTCCTTCAGCTTACTGATCATACTAGTCTCAGCATCGTCTGACGAAGAGGTGGTGTGAATCAGTCTACGGGCCAACATGCGAGAGTAGAACTTCTGGAACACATCCTTGTCTTCAATGTACTTGAAAACAGTCATGATCTGGTTCAAGGTATTTTCTAGATCGCTCTCCTCTGCTCCGTTGGTGCCCTTTCTCAGAACAGCATCGGCATACTTGGCTAGCAACTCTGGAGACTTGTTGGACCCGGATTTGCAGACTGGGTTTCGGTTGACAAATTCTCTGCAGGCGTTATCCAGCGATCTAGTAAACTCGGGCTCATCCTGGAAGGCCTTCTTGACAAGACCTTGGTATTGGATGTGAATTTCGAGCAATGCATCAATGTACACCTTGGGCTCAAGCTTATCTGCATCGACAGCGACCTTGGAGACAGCATCCAGGCCCGCCTTGCGGACATGGGTTTCGAATTTGGCTCGGAGAGGGTCGAGACCATCAGGTATACGGGCAAGAAGCTTGTACATGCGTTCCATATCATCAACTCTGTCATTATCCAACAGAATTTGGAACTCATCTCGAAGGATTGTAGAATGGTCGGATATCAGAGCACCATGTAAAGTCTTCTTCAAAGAAATAGTAACGTCTGAATGGAGATACATCTCGACACGCTCCTCTTCCTCGTCCAAACGAGCCTCAGCCTTCTTCATGTATTCGACAATGCTGTTCTCGGCTACAAACTGCTTAGACTCGGCTTGGTAGAAAGCCTTGGTAGCTTCTAAGAATGGCTTCTCGAAATGGAATCGGTAGACGTCAAGGGTAGATTTCGTGGAATCGGAGTCGTCAAGACCAAGGGAGACAAATGAACCCACAATGCTCTTGATTTGGCCATGCTCAATGGTTTCTCCGTTTCGCTGCTTTTCGATCATCTTCAGGACCGCATCCATGACCTTCTCATTCACCTCGCTGAACAGAGTCTGTCGCCATTGTACGAGATGTAATGTGTAGACATCATAAATATTCTTCTTGCCCTCATCCATCTCCCGCTTCACCCAATGCCGATTGAGGTACCGGAAGAGATGGTTGATGTACTTGGCTGCGGTGGTATATCGGTCCCATTCCCGGATGTAGAAAGATAGAAGGGCTTCATCGGAGTGTGTTTTCGATAGCTTGACGAGGTTTTTGAGGTATCCGGTAAGGTATTGGATAAGGTTTTGGTAAAGGTCCTCCCCCAATAAATGTGCTATTAAGGGTCAGTCATTGTGCGGGACCTTGTGAAGATTCGGGTGTTCTTATTCTTACCTCCCCTATGAGCCCCTCCGATAACATTTCCAGGTGGTGCATTGCTCACAGCCTTTTGTGATGTACAGAAATTGTGGACGGCCCTGAAAGATATTAGCACGAGCCACACTGTTGGCAGTGAATGAACTCACGTATAAACCCCCATGTACTTCAAGTCGCAAAGCAAGGGTTAGCAATCTGCAAAAAAGTAAAGGTAGGAGAACTACTTACAAGGTTCATGTCAATGCCATTTTTTAAATCGACCATGATCTTGTCTACGCCATACTCGAGGTATTTCCATCTGCGAGCTCATATTAGCCAATACCAGAGTACAGGAGATAGAGCCCCGCAGAGATGAAATAAGACTTACGTTGCAGTCAGGTCTTCTCTATTGGGGACTTGCGGCATAGGAGCCGGTGCTGTTCTCGTGGCCACGGAAGACATGATGGGAGTTGTGATTTTAAAGGTCGAGCTGGTGGCGTGGAGGGGTGAAGGTGATGACGCCCGGTGACGAAGATTTGGGTCGGAGGATGAAGATGTTTAGGCTCGCAGAAGGGCGGCAGGCTTCCGATCTGCCTCTCAGAAGCTCGGGCAGAGTAGCCAGGAGCCTTCAAGGCGGTTCGTCAGTTGGAGGGGTATCTGATACTGTAGGGAGACGCGAACGAATCGCGGGATCTGGGCCAGCAAGAACGCCAAAGCTTGACTGTGAGTTCCTGGCCGCAGGGTAAAAACGAAAGTACAGGAGCTACTATTACTCTGCGTGCAAGACTAAACAGAGCCTTGTCCAACAGGAATAGATGAAGTGGTGTGTCGGCAAAAGTTGAGGTTAGGAAGGTTTCGTGGTTTTAAAGACAAGGCAAGGCAAGGTTCCGTGAATAGGCTGCAGTCGGCTCATTAGTCATCCACATTTGGACAACTGCGCCGTGAATGTAGTGTAGTGTAGGTTAGTAGGCTTCCATGAAGATTCACTATGATTATGTGATACGTTTTTAAACTAAAATCTATATTTCTTAAACATATTATTCGTTCAATTCAATCGAGTTATCTCATAAAAAGCATCTAGCTACTTTACCATATTTATATAAATCTTTCTATTCCCATACCAGAACTTTCGCTTTTACCAACCATTTCAATCAACTATTTGACATCAGATTTGCCCACTTAATACGAAGAAGTCGGGCTTTTTGAATGAGATTGTATCATCAAAGCCTTCATAGCGAGTATTGCGTAGCGCTGTGCTTAAAACCCCGCATGCTCTTTTCGAGATATGCCAATATCGTCATAAAACTTCGCGGACCATGGTTTTTCGAGGCAATAAATAATCGATCCCTGGCACCCTGAAACTTATTCACATGGCCCATTTCCCCCAGTCCCTAGCATAATTCATTTTCATAGCATAGCAGGTGAAGTCCTTTGTGACTACTCCAGCAGAGTATTGCTCCGTAAGTCCAAGAGGATTGTATGGGGATTAGGGGCCGGACTTTGACTTTAGTAGATATTTAAATAAAAACAATGGATGGACCTGGGTATAGTGATACATTACTCATTACTCTACCAAATTTGAGTAATTTTTTTTTCCATACAAGTCCCATGTCCTACAGTGTCCCTTGAGCCCAAGGCGAGCCTTTTCAGCTCGGCCATGTAGTCTCCCTTTTTCAACGCCTTGCTATGCTTGCAGATCCATTTCCCTGTGACCCCAAAAAGAAATATGTGCAAAGTGTTGGATATCTAATCCCCCTCTTCCCTTCCGCCTACCCGCTCAACAAGCCTAGGAAGAAGTCAGTCAAGCTTTGCGAAACACAAGGAATAGTTCTCATACCTAAATATGCTCACTGAAAAGGTCATACCCCATGCAATCAACGCCACAAATACAAAGGCGCACAGCCCCGTAACCCGACGACAGATGATAGAATTATACCCATTTTTCCCTCCTGGCTGGCAACTCCCAGAATCATCTGTAAGAGACTCGAACGCTAAGGCCAAATTGGCAGATTCAAATATTATAAACCATACATCCAGTAGTACGAGCCGTATCTTTGCTTTGGGAGATCGAAGACCTAATGGCTTACCGGTATATTCGTCCCACGTGATGTACAAGATATATGGAATGGCAACCACATCTACAACTACGGCCATTGTTGTGGAGGCAGTTTGAGGATATGAGTATTTTTTGGAAAGAGCGTAAACTGAGCCAGAGAGGCCAAGGGCAATCGCGGATGTGGTGAAAACAGTGCCCCGGAAGATTAATGGGACGAATGGATGCATGAGAAGAATGTTCTGTGCCTTGTTAGTGTTTCCGTCGTACCGAGGAATGAAGACCACAAACCTGCGCCCGCTTGAGAAGCGTCATCCGTCGTTTCTTACTATGTAGTAAACCAGAAAGTTTCTCCGGATCCCCACCCTCCAAATCTCCTCGCCAGGGCTTCTCATATCCAGGTGTCAGGGATTGCAGGAACGCCTCGTCAACCCTTTTGGCATCCTCTGATTGTGAAGGCCCATACATGGAGGATTTGATGTACATTCCCCATGGCGATGAGGGTGTAGGGATATAAGGATTGTCGCCTCCCGTCATGAAGACGGGCTCACTGTCCCTCTTGTGGTCCCATTTTCTGCCCTTCACAGGCTCCTTATGGCCTCCGAAGAATCCGGTCTCTTGCTTCGGGGCCGCGTGCATATCATCAATATCAACCCATCCATCGTGCGATACTCTGCGATGTGGTTTTGTTGGAGTATGGTGATGTTGAGCGGAGTGGGCTCGGGATGGAGAGGAAATAAGTCTATCTGTGGGACTGGCATTGTCGCCCTCTTCGAAAGAGTCTATCCAAGCTGCGGTGGCATTATTAGCATTGAGTGTATTGAGAGGCTATATCGGGCTTACATGGAAGAGTTCTGACATATCTCTGCGCAGCGCGATTCTCGGCGCTAGTGCTGGTGGAAGTATGGGTATTGCGCGAAGAAGATGATGATGCTTTGGGGCGATTAAGATTATCTCTTCTGTGCTTCATGGCGGCGTCGCTGGAGGAAGAGGAAGCAGAAGTGTGTCTTTGTTGACTAGCAGAAAAGCCATTTTGGAAGAGGTGAAGTGGGTTCAATTGGGAGCCCTGAGCCTGAGTAGAATGCTGACTCTCAGACATTGCCATGGGTATCCTGTGTTGGTGAGAAGTCGCTGCAGGAGATTGACAATGCCCGCGCTACTTGTTGGCGGGATGTAGGGAAAGATGTCACTGCAATAAATGTATTGCGATAAAGAGTCCCAAACACAAATGCATCTCGTTAATTGTTCGGCTCTGAAGAGAGAAAGGTTTGAATAATGTAGACTCCGTACCGTGTTATTCTAGGTGAAGGTTGTAACGCAGCGGCATTGGGGGAATGGATCTTGCAGATGATCCGCGCTCTTGATCTCCGGTCCGGCTCGTTCTAAAGACAAAAAAGCGGCACTCATTTTAATGTCCCGCTTCGCCTGACGCTTTATAAAGTGGTGCCGCTTTTTATCTCAACCATAAATCTCGACATGTGCAAGGGTGCGTCATTGACGCGCGAGATCCAATTCTCGACCAAGCTTTAGGGAAAGCCTACCTGCGAGTAACTAAATTTAATCTTGCATTAATCTCAACAACGACGACAACAACCACAATCGCGTTTCCTAAATATCCCCAAACTCATAGGAATAATCTGAGCTATTTCCTTTTCGACGGACACCTTCAACACGATCGTCAATCCCATCCGCAATGCGACTCTTCCTCCTCCCAATTTCCACGCGCCGAACGCTCATCTATTGTGAACGTCTCAATGTCACGACCACAAACGAACAGACCAATGTCGCTCTTCGCTGGGTAGATAAAGGCTCAATCAAAGCAGCGAGTTTATGGGCGAGCTGGGAACAGAAGGAATCTGGATGGCAAAAATGGTTGGTAAATAGGGGGAACGCAGCGCTCAGGAGGATAGCATATGAGGAATGGGGACTAAAGTCGATACCTGCGCTATCTACGCGTCGAAAGGCAGAGGAACTTAAAGAGAAGGGGAAACATATTGTTGAGGTTTCGTTTCCTCCAAGTTTGATACCAGAAGAGACAGTGACGGAACTGCTGAAGAAACTGGGCACGGAGAGGCAGGGGCTTCACCAAAGGAGCTTATATTGGTGCTTCATTGGAATGCCTATAGCTGCTCCCTTTGGATTGGTTCCCATGTACGCGCATTCTGTTAAAGTGGTCGTGGATACTAGCTAACACGGTGATTCAGTGTACCCAACATTCCATTTTTCTACCTAGCCTTCAGAGCTTATTCTCATTGGAAAGCGCTTTCAGGATCGAAGCATTTGCAATTTCTAGTGGACAACGGACTTGTTACGCCGAAACCGTCTAAAATCTTGGACGAGCTCTATTCTACGGGGAAGTTGTCATTCGACACGCCATCTGTCTCAACTACAGAAAAGTCATCGATGGACTCAAACTATTTGGAGGAGAAGATGATCCTTCACAAGTCTGATGGGAAAAGAATTGCGGAAGCTTTAGAGTTACCCGAGCTGGATATGGAACTCGATCGAGCTGTGTGGCAGGTAGAGAGAGCATTGAAGACTGAGAAGGAGAAGAAAGAGAAGAAAGATGTGGATTTAGCCAATTCAGAGGCCCAAAAGAAGAAATAGACCTCTTTAATCTGTACGATAATGGGCTGGATGATGTAAAGTAGATGGAAAAGGCTTATCTAGAAATATTAGACTCAGCTCAATATAAAGCGCCAGTATTTTCTCTCTTAAAGTGTCTAGTGAATCAGCCTAAACTTGAAACAGGCAAGTGCCGAGGTGCATACAATATGTCATAATTTGTTTGCTATCTGCATTTCAGGTCACACAAACACAAACAGAGTTTTCCATCACAGCTTCTAGAGGATCATTTAGGCCTAATTCATATTCTCATTTGAGAATCTGTGAAGCTGCTTCACAGAAGCATCGAAAAGATTAGCCTATTCCACCGCCTACAGGAGTAGTTTCGAGGCGATAAGAGGATCTCTAAAATTTTAAGCTTATTAGTTGCAAGGATAAAATCCACTAGTTCTCCTATTCTGCACTTGATATACGATAACTCGCCCGAACCATCTACAAACACCCACACTCTCCACTTCCTCCCCACAATGCCTCCATCCCTTGACGAAGACGGAAACGACTATCACGGTCACGGCGATGGCGACACTATAATTGTCAAAGGCGAAGACGAGTGGTCCCGTCCATCATCCCAAGAAAGCGACATGTCTCCTGAACTAGAACCCCTGGTCAACCACCTCCTTTCACAAATCAATCCCCAACACCTCGAATCGCCGGAGCCTATAGAAGGAGACATCCCCCTCATAAATCCCCGCATCGAGCAGATCGCGCCGAAACAGAAACCACGCATCGTCAACCTCACGATGGAAGAGCGACTACAAATGATGCCCGAGAAACGCCCTTTGCCTTGGAGACCTGGCGTTGAGGCTGGAGCTGATAACGAGACGGGAGGAGATTCGCGCCGAAAACAGATTCGCTTTGGGTGTCTTCTTGCTACGCGTGGAGAAACTCAAAATCCGCCTTGCAATAGCTGTTCAAACGGTCGCGGGAAGTTCGATATGTGCGTCGCATTAGAGGGCTTCTTCAAGGGCGCGTGTGCAAGTTGTCAACTCAGTGGCAGGCCGAATAGATGTAGTATCAAGGTCAATGATGGTATGTGCTTGCTTTACGATTTCATCGCGCATATGTCTGCTAACGTCTTGAATGTTTAGATCTCCCAGAAAGTTCCCCTGCAGTACGCACGCCCGCAGTTCCCTTGAACAACGAAACTCCCCAACAACCCTCGAGCGAAGGTCCCCGGCCAAAGCGAAGACGTATTCAAACTCAAAAGAAGAAAGATAGCAAGGTACCGGAATGGGAGAGTGCCAGACCCCAATGGGAACAAGAGCTTGGAGACTCGCAAGCTCGACAGCAATTGACGGGTATGGCGCAAAGAACCTGGGCACCTGTAAACCCTTCATCTGCAACCCCACAATCGCAAATTATGATGAATGGAAATGGAGTGAGGAGCGTTCCAATCCCACAAAATAATACGGGTCGAACGAATGCAATTCCAATAGGATGGGCGACCGTCAATGCGACCGTCGATCAACCTTCTCCTGCACCAGGCAAAGCAAGATACAGTACCGGAGGCGATAGTAACGGGATTGGCTATCCAAATAGCCAGGAGCAAAACAAGCGGGAGGAAACGATTATGGATGACGGCGGATCAGGGGCACTGATCGATGCGCTGCCAAAACACAAGCAGAGACAGGTATACGGGCTCATAAGTGGACTTCAAGGAGGGATTCAGCATATACAGCGGGAGCTGGACTCGTTGAAAAGGGCTTTAGGGATTGACGACTAGGTGATGGCCTTCAGGACAAAAGCGCCATGTAATGAAGCTAATGACACACTGTAAATGTATTATGATCTGAGGCACGTCCCATGTGGAGGAGCGAGACATGCTGATAAGATAACGAGACAATTATATGTTGCGGGGTGCGGTGCATTCCACACATCATGCAAAACCAAAACCGCCCTGCTTACCGTAATATTCACGCCCTCTCCCACAACACGCTGAAGGGGCATAAGAGGGTGAGGCAGTATGGTTATCAGCAAGCCTTGCAGAGAAGAAAAGTATACCATTAGAGAAGATGATGTTTTAAGAGGCTGAACGGCTGCTTGTGGGTGGGTATATTCGACCTGCGATACTCCATTACCGACCAATAGCCAAGAAGCCGGCCTCTTGCAGCCTCGATGCTGTCTGGATGTATGTATGTAAACATGGCTATTACTCGGGGTTTCGTTGATAGTTGAGGGAAGATGTTGGGTTTATTGAGGGGGGTTGCGAGTGCCAGGATGAGGGGTTCTGATGAAGTGGGGTGGGGTTGACTCTTGGTTTTTGGCATGCAAGGGATTATGTATGGTGGAGAAGGCATTCCTGATTATGTAGAGGGCAGTAGCTTTAAAATACGACGTTTGGAGAGATATTTGCTAGCGTATATATATATATTAAATAACTCAATTCGACAATGTGATGTACAGTACTTTATTTAGACTAACCCCACATCGGCAATCCTTTGTTGCACATCGCATCCCAAATTACCAAAACATTTACACCGAGTATACCAAAATCTATAAATCGCGTCGCCTCTCTAAGGTATGCCGTAAGGCGTAGGTAAGCAAGCCCCGCCCTTCCCATTCGCTCCACCTTCGCACCTGCATGAGAAGCGCGAACGCCACTAAAGCTTATTCATGGCATGTGCCTGGAGCTAGGGGGGCAGATAATCTCCCTTGTCTGCCGTGCCGCCTCGTAAGGGTACAGGAACAGGTTCGTCATTTCTAAAGGTTAAAGGGTGAAACATGTCCTGTACTTCGTAGATGGAGGGGAGGGGGAGGTATTCGTACGAGGGGAAAGGGAATACCCGTTGGTGGCCGGAGGCCTTCGGGTACAGAGGTGGCGATCACTCACTCGTGTTGAATGCGTGCGGTACTGTACTGTACGAGGTGAGATGATACGATACGGGAGGGACGGAGGTCCTGTGCTTATCTATTGGCTCGATAGTAATCAGGTCCCCGCTTTCACGAGAAAGTAAAGTGCAGCCATCTAGAATAATCATACTGTATCTTGGGGCGTTTGCAATTGAGTTTGAATAAGATGATGGCAGGATTGGTCGCCAGCGGTCCTCCACTCCAGTCCAGCAAGGCAAGGCGCGGACCACTGCTTCGCTTGTGTTCAAAGTGGGGGTACGAGATGTGTGTGATTGGTCAGAGCTTTCCTCACCTACTGTATCCTGCCCTGCATTGGCTTATTACATTATCGTCTGCAGATTGGGTATGTAGTGTCTATCACCATCCACCATGCCTCCACTAATTGCCCGTTGAATATCTCACCACCACCCACTCTGCTTCCATTTCCACTTCCACTTCCACTTCCACTGCACTTGGCAGGCTTCGGCATCCTTTCGGTCTCTTTGTCCTCCGTCTCCATCTTCAAATTCTTCCTCACCCTCACCTTCGTCTTCGTCTTCATCCCCACGGTCGCTTTCGTCTTTCATAAAAATACTGTCCTTCAGGTTGAGGAATTTTCGCTTCGACGTGATTTTTGCGCGGGACCCTAAACCTTGTTTCGTCTTATCTTCTCCACTGCTCCAGACTAGGGTAAATTGACAAGGCATCGACAAAGAAACATTTGCGACCGCCAGGGATATTACCTCGATCTTCCGAACTTGTTGTATCAAATATACCACTTCAAATTGCGTCTGATTTACACGACGTTTTCCCCACTGATTTAGACGACGACGATGGGGTCACGTTCACGATCGTTTGATACATTTTTCATGAGATATTAATAATCTTTAATCATGGCACCATTGACGAAGGCTCAAAAAGTGCTAGATACAGGGAGAGAGACGGACAGTATTGGGGAGATGGTACAGGCTGGGCGGTCCGAATCGTTGCTGGTGTTGGAGAGGGATAATCCGTTCGACACGCCGACGGAATCGACAACCCCAATTGCATCGCGAAGAGAAAGTGCGGTTTCGAACCTCCAAGGAGCCGTGTCAAATACATCTCAGCCCGACCGACGATTGTCAGCAGCGAGTTTAAGAAGACACTCGTCTTACGCTCCCGCTGTCCCTTCGCCATTGAACCCTTCCTCGTCACAAGCGTCGACAAGTGAAAATGGCGAAAGAGAAAGTTTGTCGGACGAGGTCTCCAAAAGAAACTCTGCGTCTTCAGGAGAACTACCACGGAGTCAGAGCTCAAGTAATTTATCCTCGACAGCGAGAGGGAAGAGGAACATCAGCGCGTCGCTTCCTCAACAATTATTAAGACAGAAATCAGCTCAGGCTTTACAACCAGGAGAGGAAATATCACGACCGGGAACACCAAAAAACTTGAAGGATCTAGGACGAGACTACTCGAGATATCCAGCATCCAAATCGAGTATATGGGTGAACTCCCGACCACCAGGTTCATCGACCACCAACTCAGAGACAAACTTGTTGCGAACGACGACAAACAATCCTTTCAACGAATCGCAAGCAGATTTAGAGAAGTTCGGATACCCAGACGACAGCATTACTGCTTTCGATCCATATTTTGGAGGAGACAAGGGGTTTATTTTATACAATAATGAGGTGGAAGCAGACGACAAATTCCACATGCCAGCGGACGATGACGATATAACCTACAAAGCTAAATTGTCCGATTACTTCGACGCAAGGTCTATAGTTAGCACCATTGGGGGCATAATCCTGGTCCTCGGTCTCCTATGCGTTTTCATCCTCCTGCCAATCCTTACCTACTCGACACATCTGTTAGTACCTGATGGTAAGGGAACATATGTTGAAGATACCGGACCAGCCTGGGCACACGTCAACAATAATACATATCCTTTACTACAGAATGTGAGGACAGGCTTGATTGATCCAGATACACCAGCCAGTGCCATGACGAGGGATAGCACGTTTGATGACTCTCAGCTACAGTTGGTATTCAGTGATGAGTTCAATGATGACAACAGGACGTTCTTCCCTGGGGATGATCCCTTTTGGACTGGAGCCGACCTATGGTATGGAGCCACGCAGGATTTCGAATGGTATGATCCAGACGCGGTTACCACGAGTGGAGGCACCCTACAGATGAGACTGGACAAATTCCCCAACCACGACCTGGATTACCGCTCCGGGATGCTGAACAGCTGGAATCAGATGTGTTTCAAAGGCGGCGTCTTCGAAGTTTCCGTCTCTCTAGCTGGGCCAGCAGGAATACCTGGTCTATGGCCAGGTGCATGGACAATGGGAAATCTCGGGCGTCCAGGCTACAAAGCAACTACCGAAGGCGTCTGGCCATACACATACGACGGCTGTGACGCAGGCATAACACCCAACCAATCCACCAACGACGGGATGTCAAACTTACCAGGCCAAAGACTCAATTCCTGCACCTGCAAAGGCGAAGACCACCCAAATCCAGGTGTCGGCCGCGGCGCCCCTGAAATCGACATTCTCGAAGCGTCCGTCGACCCGGAAAACAGAATCGGAGTCGTAACCCAAAGTTTCCAGGTCGCGCCCTTCGACATCTGGTACCGGCCTGACTCAGAGTACATGGCTATCCCAAATTATGAGACGACGCAGATGAACACTTACTGCGGCGGTCCTTTCCAACAAGCTATTTCTGGCACCACGTTATTAAATAATAGCTGGTATGATGGCAACGCGTACCAAAAATACGCATTTGAATACATCCCTGGAACATCGACTGGCAAGATCGCCTGGTTTGTTGGGGAAGATCCATCGTTTATTCTTGATGGGCGCGCCATTGGTCCTAACGGAAACGTTGGCGCACGTCAGATATCGGAGGAGCCCATGTCCATGGTACTCAACCTGGGCTTTTCATCCTCCTGGTCCCAGATCTTGCTGGCCGATTTGATTTTCCCGACCGTCATGCATGTGGATTATGTGAGGATCTATCAGAAGGCTGGAGAGACGAGCATAACGTGTGATCCGCCTGGGTATCCAACAACGGACTACATCGCCAATCATGCCGACGCGTATGAGAATGTCAATCTCACTGTAAGTTTTGTACAATTTTTGGCAGCATGCGGTTGTGACAGCTAGCTAATTGTGATGAATAGTCGTGGAATGAGACGGGGTATAGCTGGCCTACAAATAAGCTTACCGGGTGTTGAACAATTGGCGTCTGGGTATACATACAACTGGCTGGATAAACATAATGTAATGAGCGGAACAGGATAGATGGATATCTTGCATGCATATAGAACGTTGTTTTCCTGGGGATGGATCTTTCAAGGCGTTCTCGGCTGGGTGGGTAATCAGATTCATCGTACATATATGACCACTGGCGTTTGGCTTGGCTTGGCCTGGGAATAGGACTTGCATGCATATATCATATAATGGGACTGGGATTCCATTCAAGGACAGATATAACGACGGATGGTTGGGAACGGAACGGAACGGGATTGAACGGAATGGAATCAAGGAATCTTCTTGGGGTTGAGGAAGAAATAAGCATATACAAATGAATGCTAGACACGATTGATACATACGTACCTTTAATATAAGGAATAGAGAGAATGCACGGTCCGGTTCTGGATTCTTACAGACGTGCATCGAGATCGAGTGGGATTCAGGAAGGCTTGGCTTGTATTTACGTCAAGTTATGCGAGTGAGTGAGTGAGTGATACGTCGTATTTCGGATAGAGGGGAAGTATAGGATGGGATGGTACGATTATACATACATAATTACGCCTCTTGAAATCCCATCTGTTGCCATCATCCTTCTATTCATCCCTCGGAATGATTCCTTCCTTGCCCATTCTATTCTATCCTAAGCTCGATCTGAAACTCCATTTGCATTCCTCGAGTTTCCTAAGCTTGAGTAATGTAAGGATCGGGCTCGGAGTAGGTGAGTGAGAAGTTTGTTGGCCATATGCATGGTTTTCTAGTCATCGAATCTTGGGTAATTAGATTAAAGTATTGTAAGATGGGGATCGAGGG